GTAATGTATAAAAACTTCATAGTATAGCTAGCCTTAAAAGTGAAAAAAAACAACACAGTATAGTATGGAATAAAAAGGGACAAAACAACATAGTATAGTATGGCAAAAAAAAACGAAAAAGCAACAGAGTATAATAAGGCATAAAAACATCAAAAAAACGTCATACTATATTAAGGTATAAAGATGTGATACTATAACAAGGCCTTAAAAAGTGAAAGAAACAACATAGTAACAGCAAGCACAGCGAGAACATTCAAAGTCCACACACAATGGTCCCAGAGGTGGGATTCAAACTCATGACCTTGTGATTGTAAGGCAACAACTCTAAGCACTGCTCCACCTCTTGAAGGAGTGAAGGTAGTTTGAGGTATAAGAACATCAAAATAATGTCATAGTCATAAATGTCATAAAAATTGTCATAGTATAGTATGGCATAAGAACATGCATAAAAATGACAAAAAGCGGCATAGTATGGTAAGGCATAAAAATGTCAAAAAACATCATAGTATAGTATGGCATAAAAATGTGAAAATACATCATAGTAAGGGATAAAAATGTAAAAAAAAAAAACGTCATAGTATGAGAAGGCATAAAATGGTCAAAAAACGTCATAGTATAGTATCGCATAAAAATGTGAAAAAACGTCATACTATAGTATGGCATCAAAATGTTATAAAAACTCATAGTATAGTAAGGCAGAAAAATGACAAAAAAAATGGCATGGTATAGTAGGTCATAAAAATGTCAAAAAGTCATAGTATAGTATGGCATAAAAATGTCATAGTATAGTAAGGCATAAAAATGACAAAAAAAATGGCATGGTTTAGTAAGGCATAAAAATGATAAAAACTGCATAGTATAGTAAGGCATAAAATGGTCAAAAAACATCATAGTATGGCATAAAAATGTTGAAAAACGTCATGGTATAGTTTGGCATAAAAATATCATAGTATAGTAAGGCATAAAAAAGTCATAATATAATAAGTCATAAAAACATCATAGTATAGTATGGTGTAAAAAAGTCATAGTGTAGTAAGGCACAAAAACGTCATAGTGTAGCAAGCCATAAAAACTTTATAGTGTATTAAGCAATAAAAAGTACACCTATACTAAGGCATAAAAATGTCATAATATAGTCAGGCATAAAAAAGTCATAGTTTAATAAAGCATAAAATGTTATGTTTAGTAAAGCAAAAAGTTATAGTATAGTAAGGCATAAAAACATCATCGTATACTATGGCATAAATATTCATAGTATAGTTAGGCATTAGAGTAATAAACCTAAAGTAATAAACCTAATGTGCATGTCTATGGACATTTTCACATAATTTGGACAGTACTCCAAGAGAACCCACGCAGGCACAGGGAGAACATGCAAACTCCACACAGAAAGGTCAAAGGCCCGCAGTTCGAACCCAGAACCTTCTCACTGTGATGCAGCAGTCCTAGCCACTGCACCACCATGCAACCCCCACCCCAGAAGCCAGGGTAGCTTACTAGTTAAAGCTAGCTAACATGGTTGAATAACATCAGTTGACATTTTTCTGGTGACGTTAGGTACCACTATGATATTCTCTTATTAAGTGAGCCTTCAGATAGCCCCCATCCTTTCAGTAAATCAAATGCTAGCATACCTACATCGGTTGTCTTGGAGACGTAACCTCTTGGAGGGCACATTGGAATGATGTAATGTGACTTCCCTCCAAAAATAGTGCAAACGAGCACTCAAATAATGGCAGGGACAATGCTTTCCTCCCAAAATATTGGTAAGGGCATGCCATCCATATGCAAACTTAGGCCCTTGCTCTAAACCAATTACTAGGCTTTTTTTCTTCAGCAGATTAAGTGACACATCAGGTCTTCAAACACAGCCAGGATTACCAAGAGCAGTGTATTTAAAGCAGCAGGTTTCAGACAGAGTAAAAAACACTTCCCAGCAATCAAGTTCAAACTGAAAGTTTCAGCTTTTATCAAAACATATGAATCAGGATCAGAAGCTGCAAATCCTTCCTTGAACTTTATGTTGCCACAATGGCCTTATGTTTTAGGATCATATTAAGTTTTCCCTGTTCTGCATTTTACTGTAAGCCTTGGTTCACCAATCTCTGCTAAAATGAAAACAATAGGATAAGTTTAAAAAAATAAAAGACTATAAGAAAGAAATGTAAGAAATGACAGAAAAATTATCATGTGTGTCATTCCTTTTGATTTTTACACTTCTTATTCTGTAATCGTAATTAAAAACCCTTTGTTATACTTACCCATTTTCTCCCCTGAGCTCCTGTTAAAAGAGTTTTCACATCATAAACCCTCCGCAACTCCCCCTAAAACACAACATGGTCAACTTGGTGAAGTCTAGTACAGAGACAGACTGTCCATTCAAGCAGGAGAACCCAGAAATTTGGGGCAAAGGTCTCCAAACAGTCTCAACCTCTTCCTAGTAGTGACAAACATATATGCCCAGAATCTAAACTGAGTTGCTCACAGAGGAATGTTATTGGCAGAGTAATTAGTGATATTAGGAGGAACTCTTCTGTGGTGTCTGTGGTCCAAAATTGATCTACGGGGGGAAAGGTTGTTCTTGAATTTAGCCACATTTCAGAACAAAAGTTCAAATGTTGATCAACAACCACCAAAAGTAATTGCACCATAAGTGATGTGGGAGAGTATTTTTCAGTTTTTTTATTCTTCCTGTATTTTGAAAGCTTGCTTTTTTGCATATTTTGCAACCATGGATATTTTGTTATATGAGTTGGCTGTCCATTGGTAAAACAAACACTTATCAAGTCTACAGCCATGCTATCAGTTCTGTGAGGCTGAGCTAAATTTACTACTAACATACTAACATGCTGACAGTGACCATTCTTGCATACTTAGCAGGTATAATGTTTACCATGTTCACCTGGTTAGTTCAGTGTGATAGCATGCTAACATTTGCTAACTATCCCTAAAAGCCTCTTAAGCCCGATGGACCCGGTACCGGGTCCCGCAGAACCCTGCAACACATAATTGTGTGTAAAAAGTTGATAGGCTGTGGTGGTCTCTTTTTTTAATGCTTCTAAAAGACGAGGCTTTAACACTACCAAAACAATAGTCCAAGTGTATTTAGACTAAAGAATATTTGTTTGGCAATAATTTCAATATTTCAATTAAACAGACAGTCGAAATGAAATGTGACAGTACATGTAATCCACTCGCTCAATCCCACCATGCTGGGTGTTGTATGAAACTGGAGAAGATACTCTTTCCACTGATAGCGAGAATGTCAGCTCCAAAGCAAATAGGAGGCCAAAATTTTCATTATACAGTCCAAAGGTCAAATTTTGGGTTTATGATTAAATATTGCATCAAATCCCAAAGCAGTTTGGTAAAATCCAAGGATACACAGGGTAAATGAAATTACCAAGGGTTGCATTGTGTGCACATAGCCTCTTGTAGTGGACATCATTAGTATGTTGTAGCCAGATTTCCTTTCAACAGGTAAAAAACCTCTTTGGCTATCCAAGTCTCCAAATGGAGAGTCCACCTGGCCTAATCCCTACTAAAACCTTTGTAGAATTTGTGTGCTTTGTGGTATTTCTACCTAAATTGGTCCAGTTGTAGTCATGAGTTGCTGATTGGAATCAGTGACTGTGATCTCAGAGCATGGGATAATTGTTAGCATGGTGTTGTCCACTGTCTAATTTAAAACAAATTCTAGGCGAGGAAAAAAAAATAAAAATTTTCCTTTGGTTTATTACAATTAATCCAGCTAAAGTAAAGATGAAAATGTTACTGACACATAGAATAAATTCTCTGAGGTCTTACCTATCCATAATGACCAAGCTTTTGCATATGGACCTGATAGTTGTGGAGCTATTCTTGATCAATTTTGGGTATGTCTGTGTAGGCGAGGCATACCCCCCAGGATCTTTGGGCTTAACAGGCAAAACACAAAGTTCATCTGAGACGAATGTGGTTGGTTTTGCAGTGATTTGGTCATAAACCAAAATACTGTATAAATGAAAATTTTGACCTCAGTGAAAAGTAATGAGATCACCGAAGTTACTGCAATTCTTCCTGAGGGGACCATGAATGTGTGTACCAAATTTCATAACAGATTACATGTAATCATTTTTTAGATATATCAATAAAAAGCAAAATGTCAGTCTCATGGTGGCCCTAAAGGATTATTCATTATCTGGGAACAATGAATGTCAAAATTTTGTGCCATATCCATCCAGTAGCTGTTGATATTTCAATAATAAGTGAAACCTTTGAGCTTCTGGTGATGTTAGCGAAAAAAAGTTAGAGAAAAAGTCAGGGGATCAACACAGTCAGTAGGCTTCATCCTCTGGGGACCATGAATATCTGTAAAAACTGCAGTCCATTCAGTGGTTTCTCAGAAGTGGTGATCCAACCGACAGCACTATCCCTAAAGCCACTAGCATGACTAACAATCAAACTAAATTATGTAATTATGTTATGGTGCAAAGAATCTATAATTCAGTGTGCACATGTTAAACCAGCATGCAAATGTCTTGGCATTGGCCAGTTGTCATTTTCATTGAGCGCTTATGACACATGTCTCTCTGTGTCAAAGATCAGACGCATTGCACAACTCACTTGCCTGACTTGACTCACTCCTCTCCTGCAGCGACAGAATGAGGTCAAAGGGCAGATAGTTCCAGATGAAGACACACACACACACACACACACACACACACACACACACACACACACACACACACACACACACACACATTAACCCCTGCAATCTCTTGCTGCTTCATTGTCAGCTCCATTGTCAGACAGTGTACATGAGCCAGAGCAGCTCAGGACTGCATGATTAGGGGGATTCTCTTGAACCTTATCTTCTAATGAACCTTATCTTTCAGCGTTCAATAAGGGGTATTCCATGTGTAACCATACAGTTGTCAAACAGTGTCTGTCAACCAATAAATAGGATTGGCTTTCTAGAGTTTCACATACTGTGATTGGACACTATTCAAGCTCTCCTGATGAGGATCAATGTGTATGGTAACAAGCCACGCAACACAAACCAACCACTCATGTTGTTCAATGTTCAGAAACATGCATGCAGAGTTTGAATGCTTATATGATTTATTACCAGCTGTGACAGCATGGCTGCTAGTGTTTTCACCTTGTGAGTGCGTCGTGGCAAAATGTGATCTTGGCAGGAACTATCACATAGGTGGTTTCGAGTTCTTTGGCAGGTGTTTATATGTCTGTGGACAGATTTTATATTTGAGATCAAAATGAAGGTCAAGTTAGAAAACAGTTGTGGTACCAATGGGTACTCAGTACTCATAGAATGATGTATTAATTGCTACTGAGTAGTACTCATGGGTCAGAATGTTAACATGTTGATTGGTGTCGCAGCTGGTATGATGTCATCGCAAAATGGTCTCCAATTTATCTTTATTCCACACTTAGGATCACTACATGTTTGGAGTTCTTAGACAGATATATCTAACTCATGAGATGACACATGCACAGTTTCACCTACATTGAATATTTGCTTCACTTCTTGTCCTGGAAACCCATGCCCTTTCACCCAAACAAGTTCTCATGTCCAAAAAGCAATTCCAGTACAAGTGGCCTCATGAATATGCATTTTGTCGCCACTGTGGGAGTTAACCTGACTCCACTCATGTTTAAATTGCAGGAGCTGCCTCTTGTCTCTCTGCCTGCAAATGCTTGACTGGGCCGAACACTGAGAAAAAGTCCGAATTTGGGGTGTGCAACAAAGTGAGTATCTGTCTATCACTATCAGTATTTTGTAGTACAGTGTAGAGTGTATAATAGAAAGACTGATTTCAGTTAATCCATACCACTTTCTTTTAAAGTAAAACAACAGTTCTTGGGCAATTCTGTCTAACAAAACATTTGTGTGCAATTTCTGTTTTTCCATCAACAGACTAAGCAAATAACACAAATATGGAAACTATTGGCGAGATCATCCCATTCGCTAAGGAAATGCTGAACCAGAGGCCAAACCGGGGCATGGTGAAGATCTACATGCTTGGCTCAACTCTGGCAATGCTCGGAATGATTGGCGGACTGGTGGAAACGATTCTCCTGCCTTTTGTGGAGCAGGAGCCTGTGGAGGACACACTGGTAGAGCTTAGCAAGGAGAAGAGGAAGAAAAGGAAGCAGGTGCTGAAGTCACACACAACCGTGATTTGCCCTGAAGTCATAGATGTGGTTGAGACGGTAGTGATCGAGGCCAAGGCCAAACATCTGGTGACCGCTGGGCAGAGAAGCTCAGCCAACCGCTTATATGCTTCTTAAAGAAATATCTCCTCTCCCGATGTAAATGGACACTGCAGTTACAATGTTGATGGCAATGGTGGTAAATTAAATCACCATGTTAAACTGGTCCATTTGTACTCATTCTTTTATTTCAGATTTGGTGAAACATGCAATTTCTACCCTGTTAAGTGGCACAAAATGAGAAGTGTGAATACACTGAAAACTGCAGGGTACAGTAAAGTCTGGCTGCTGGGCAGCAGATACTTGCGGATGTGATGTGATGAATGTGTTGAAAAAAATGGAATGTGTATGAGTTGAGAACTCATTTTGCAACTGAATAAACCTATTTTTCAGCTAGCAACTGATTCAGGTCATGATTTTAGTATGTTGTGCATATTAGAAGATCTCTCAAATAGATGTATTTAAATTTAAGAGAATTAGGGTCGCAACTAACGATAATTTTCTTTACTGATTCATCTCATGATTATGTTCTTGAATGTTTAGCCTATAAGATGATAGAAAAAAATGAAAATGTCTATCACAGTACTTCCATGTTGAAACCTTGAATTACCTGTTTTGTCTGACCAACAGTCCCAAACCCAAAATATTCAGTTTACAGTGATATAAAACAGAGGAAAACTTTTAGGAAAAATATTCTCACAGATGATCATTGTCAGTATCATTATCATGGAACTAATGTTTCAAAAATGACTTAATCTGATTATCAATATTGGTGGCAATTAGTTTTCTGTTAATTGTGTAATCAATCGATAAACTGTTGCAATTTCAAAGGAATTCTGCATTCCACACTATGAAGGATGATGTTGATATGAAGATAACGTTTTAGTAGCCATTTAAACTACATTTAACCTATAGCACATCTGATTAATTTTATCTTGTGTGACCATTTTATGCTTAAGTTACATTCTTTTCCATACACGTTACGAATGAGAGGGGGGGCATTTGCACATTCAAGATCTGTGCAATATTAATTTATTGCTATTCCTCCGTTTGTATGCTGTATTTCAGCTCCAGCATTTCCCAAGTCTTTATGTGGCGAGAAACCTTGAATGACGCGTTGAAAATTCAGCGAGTGTAACTTTACATGCAAACACTAGAGGGCGACAGTAAAGACAGTGCAGTAATTTCAACTTCCGGCCTTGGAACGGAAACGACGTCATACAGTCGCACCGTGTTTACTAACGACGGCTAAATGGTCGTCGGGGAAATAAAGTTGTTGTAACTACAAATCAATTTAATCCAACGAGCAGAGCCCAGATAATTAAGGATGGCGGATCCGGCGGTGGCATCGGGAGGTTCACTGAATGCAGGAGGGGTAAGACAGGCTTTTATAATCACCGTCAAGAGCAGAGTGTACCCGTGTTTACCGTGTTTAGCTAGCAGTCAGACTCATCTGTGCTGAAATGTTTTGAGCATGGATTAATGAGTTCAAATAACTACTGTTGAATCCAGTATCAGTGTGCTGTAATTCGTTACAGACTATAAAGTCAGCTACGCCACAGTTTATATGGCTAATTTGTCTATGAATGCTAATGAATTAACGTTTACGTGTACGCGCGTATGTTACAGTCGGTTCTGTCAATTTGCAAGTGTGGGCTCATTTCCATCTATGTGCTATTCTCAAAATTACACCTTATGTGCACATGTGCTGCAAACCTGTAATTCAGTCCTGTCAGACGCAGTTGTACGCAAAAAGTGTGAGCAATCACATATTTGTTGTGAAGTAACAATTGCAACATGCAGAGAGCTTTACTTTTCATGTTAAGACACTATTACTTGCTATTTCATGAACCGAAAAAATATAACAAAATTGAACAGAAATCTGATATATGCACAAAGTCAGTACAAATTCTGGACGCAAACGCCCTGCAGTCAGTCAAGAAAGTGAAACTTTGAAGAGGCTGGATACAACAGGACACTTATCCAAAGCAGACCTCTTAATGCACCAGGCACCACTTAGAGAAACACAACCTCTTGCAATGGCCCTCACAATCCCCTGATCTGATCATCATTGACCTTAAAATATGTACAGCATACAACACCCTCAATCCTTGGACACTTGATTCAGATGAGGAAAACAAAAAAAAACAAACAAACACATGCATAGGGAAAAATGTGGAGAGAGAAAGAACCTCAGGACAGTCTGGCTTGCAATAGACATTCTGTGTACAGAATACACCAACATAGATCGATTGTACTCAAAGTTTCATGCTGTGATGAGCCAATTTCCATGTGACTTTTCTGATGTATCTTCTCATGCACTGTCCCTGTCATATCACACGTTTATTCAGCGTGGGGGTGGTGGTAAAGCAGCTTCTAGCCCTGCAGAGAACTACCACCTGGCCAGACGTCGCACCTTGCAGGTTGTTGTCAGTGCCTTACTGACGGAGTGTGGCTTCGAGAGTGCAGAGAAGGCAGCAGTGGAAACGCTCACTGAGATGATGCAGAGCTGTATGTATGAATCCTAAAGTGAAGCCCTGATACATACGTCGCACAGCTTTTCACCTATTGAGTTGCTGTACAACATGCATAAACTTTGCCTACAGCTGCAACTATTACCTGGTATCAACATTGTGTAGTACCACATGTTATTTCAGTGATGTCTGATGATTGCAAACAGCATTTAAATCTCATCCATTATGACCCATCCATTGGATATATCAGCAAAGTGTTTAGTGTTCATAAGGAGAGACAAAACACAGTGTTTGTTCCCTTTTTTTCCCAGATATTACTGAAATAGGTCGATGCGCTAAAGCTTATTGTGAACACACAGCCAGGAGCATTCCAACCCTGTCAGATACAGTGGTCACACTCATCGAAATGGGTAAGTCTTGGAGGACACAGATGAATTATACATTGCTAACACAGCATCATACCAATGACTTCATTAAATCCGTTTGTGTCACTGCAGGTTTCAATGTTGACACACTGCCTGTGTATGCAAAAAGATCACAGAGGATGGTTATAACTGCCCGTAAGTACGCGCTCTACCCTCCACAGTTGTTACTGAAAGTTGATGAGCAAATGTAACAGCAAAATTAACTTATACACATTGTGATGAACTGCTGTTTTCTTTATTGATTTCAAATGTGACAAAAGTTTTGATTATATGATTTTCAGCTCCAGTGACGAACCCACCCGTGACTCCCAAAGCTCTGTCAGCCGGTCAGAAACGCACACATCCGTCTCACATTCCGAGCCACTTCCCAGAGTTCCCTGACCCTCACACCTATATCAAAACACCAGTGAGTCTGAACTTCTCTCAGTATTCCTTATTGTGGGACAGCTGTGGCTCAGGAGTTACAGTGACTCGTCCACAAATTGCAAGTTTGACGGTTCAATTACTAGCTTTTTCTGCATGTTTTTTCTTTGTGCAGACATTCAGAGAGCCTGTGTCAGACTACCAAGTGGTGAGAGAGAAGGCAGCAACTCAAAGGAGAGATGTGGAGCGAGCACTCACACGCTTCATGGCCAAGACCGGAGAAACTCAGAGCCTCTTCAAAGACGACATCACTGCCTTCCCATGTGAGTAATTCTTACTAAGATGGCCTGTATGTCAAAGACTGGCTGTAATCCTTAATGTTTGCATTTCTGTTATGCTACTTAAAGCATGTTGTTTTTAACATGAGTTCTAACGCTGTTGACTATGTAATCAGTGATCGCAGCACGGCCGAGCACAATCCCATATCTCAGTGCCCTCCTACCATCTGAGCTGGAACTGCAAACTCTGGAGGAGACGGATTCCTCTGAGCAGGACGACCAGACAGACAGCGAGAACACAACAGGAAACATCATCACTGTAAGTTCTTGTGGCTGGAACTTGCCCATTATCTGAACTATTCAGAGTTTCCTTTCCATCAGAGTGTCCCCATGAGTTCCTGGGTTTTCTTTCATTCTAAAATTATTACTTGTCAGGAATATATCCTGTGGTTTCTAACCATAAATTTAATTTCATACACAGAACTGGGTATAAATAACCATAAAATGCCAGTTATTCACACTTTACAATGTAATTTTTTCATACATATTAGATTATGTGGTAATATTTTTTAGCAAAACAAAAATTTCTCTTAAATCAAATTAGCAGAAATTGCTCCAACTGACAGGCTCACCCAGTTTTATTAAGGTACAACAGTTGCATGATAGTGCCACTGAGGTTTGGAGAAGGAATTTTTGTCAGTCTTCAGTACAGGAGCACAAAAATGTGCATAAACATACAAATGCACTCGTGCTAAAAATCCCTGGTTTGCATGGATAGTTTTCCCAGGAATCAGCAGCAGTGTTTGGTGAGTTCCTGGGAAATACTGGTATCCAAATTCCTGGCACTCAGCCCTGCTGTAGATGCTCATAATAGGGCTTTTGTGTGTTTTACATGGGATTTTCCAACCAAATCCTATCTAATTAGTGCTTTTGGGGGCCTTCATGATATTGAAGGGGTAGGTTTGTTACTTGGTACTAGTCAGTAAATCTGAGTTTCAATATAATTTGCTTTTTCAAATAATGTACTTTTACAAGCACAAGGTCACTTATTTCTATGTTATAAGTTACTTGTTGGTGTTCATTGAGACTCAGTTGAATTTGAGTAGTTTCACATTTTTGGCAATAACGCTGATTCACTTACAGAGTTAAACAAAAAGATTGATGCCACACTATTATCTGTTTAACTATGGAACTAGATCCAGGAGATAGTTATCTTAGCTTAGCATAAAGACTGGAAACAGGGAAACAAGTAGCCTGTCTTTTTCCAAAGTGGGAAAAAAACAAACTTTAAGGCTACCAGCACCTACATGAGGCATAACGTTATGTGTCATTTGTTTAATTCATACAAAAACATGTAATGTAAAATGTAAAAACAACAAACTATGGAATTACATTCTTTAACTAATTCTTAGTACGGAGCAGTGACCTCCATGTGTTGGTATGCACATTTTTTAACTTTGGGCAGTGCCAGGCTAGCTGTCCACGTGCTTCCAGTCTTTATGCCATGCTATGCTAAATCTGGCTCTAGCTCCATATTTATCACACAGAGAGTGGTATCAATCGAATAAGCATATTTACCTAAATGTTGAAATATTGCTTTAAATGTTGGAGAGTGCACTGTAACGACACTTTGTGTTTCCCTCATTCAGGATGATCCAGGGGCTGACAAAGAGAACTCCATGCTCCCTCCCAGTGGCGTTGTTCCCTCTACAAAGGCCAGTGAGGACAACGTGATCGACAACCCGTACCTCAGGCCTGTCAAGAAACCCAAAGTGAGGAGGAAGAAATGAGTCAGGGCCTACCTGAACCAATAGACTCACATTTGGCACAGTGGTTGGTGCTTTCAGCAGTCCAGTCAGTGATTTCCCCACAGAGAGGAGCGGCCCGGTGTTGAAGCCTGCTGTGTTAGCCGGGATCAGCGGCTGCTTTTCCTCAATGCTGGGACCAGTACTGCTGTTGACTTTGGCAGGCTGACTGACTTCTATTGCCTTTTTTTGTGTTAAAAGTCATTATTTTCAGGAGGCCCTCACTTTGTTTAAATTTTATGTGATATCATTTTGTAAGCAACATCATAGTGTAATATACAAAAACAAGAATCCAGTCATTTTGTGAATAAAGAAAAATAAGTTTCTTTTTTAAACTCTGAGATATACAACGTGTCTGGCATATAAACTGTTTGTCACTGTTTTGTTGACAGTAAGTTTAGGAAAATGAAACGGACACATTCCTGTGTCCGTGTCATGACGGTTCTTCATCCATCAGAGAGTTAATAGTACAAACTCAGGTAGGCCACTCTGCTCCTTTGCTTCAGGAACTCCTTTTCACTGTTTAGCTGAAGAAGAAAAAAACAAATGCATTAGATAATATTAATGATGATAAGATAATGATTAGAAAATTAGATAATGTAACAACACACATGGTGAATTTATCCCACCAAATAGAAATCCTATTAGAACCATTCAATCATTCCCATTTCTTTCCCAGCATTAGATGAGTGATCGATACCACTCTTATCTTATATCTAGGGATACAGTAAGCCTGGCTCTGTTCACCAATCTAATGGCCATTGAGGCCAAACTGCCCAACAAAAGCAGCATGTTTCAGACAGTTTATTAAGAACATCTAGTACAAAAAGTGTTGCTGTCTAATGCTGTAGTCCTGTAACAAATCCTCTCTTCATGAAGGCTGTAATGTTAATTTTTTGAAACAGAGTTGTTGAATCACCTTGATGGTCATGTTTTAATGTATTGCACTGTGTCACTGTGGTGACCATAGCTCTTGGCTGTTTTTACCCTGGACTTACGTTGGCTTGAGCACTGCCAAAGCTTTTTAATTAACAGATTATATCTTGTTTGTTTAATCTGTACAAACACTATTTGGGATGTTATACATGTGGACTGTTTCTTGGCTGAGCACAGTGACTTCCAGGAATGTCTGCTGGTTGTCTGGCAACCTCACAGTGACTCCAGGAAGTCAATTCTCCTGGCTAAGATATGTCCAGCTGTTGAAGAATAATATTCCTTCAGGTCCAAATTCAGTTGCTGGCTCAGATGAGTTTTATTCATTGCACAGTGGAGCCAGACGATCACAGCAAGGTGGTACAATTCTGTCTGCGGGTTGTGAGCTGGGTTAATCAAGAGGTCTGAGTGACAACAAGGATGAATAGGAAAACCTAGACAGGCTAATTAATAATACATTCTAATTCAATCTGCCAGTGTCCCCATTTGGCTAATCTCTTCAACACTTCTGCAATTGTGATATCTCTGTCTGTACTGGGACGCGTCCAATAGATTGAATTTACATCTAAGTTAAAGAAAGTTTCTCAAAGGCCATCTTCCTGGAGGAGTAAATCAAACGGTTTCCCATGATCAATGTAAATTAGTTGGCCACAACATAGAGCTAGACAGACAGACACTTATTTTCTTCTACACTGCACACAATCCACTGTAAAACAACAAGTTGTCATTTTTACTCTTTGGTTTTTGTATGGATAAAACAAACAACATATAAAGTATTAATTAGAATGTTTTAGAGGTGCTGGTAGGTGAATTTTTTACCTTTAAAATGACAGTCAGACCAGCTGATTCCCCTGCTTTCAGTCTTAATGCTAAGCTCACCTAACTGGCTGCTGGCTGTAGCTTCATATTAAACAGACAGATATGACAGCAGTGTCTATCCTCTCATCTACCTCTGTGCAACAAAGCAAATAACCATATTTCATAATATAATTATGTTGCTACCAACATTAACCTTCTGATCAAGTCATGGAACCAGCCTCCATTCAAGGGTTTTAACTGTGGTTTTTCAGCATTGACTGGACAGAAAACATCCCTTTCAAGTTTTGTATCCCTTGTTATAGCTTGAAAGGGGATATGGGTTTGCATCTTTGAACTGGCTGCCTTTCAGTTTTCAGTTTTACATTTGGGAGTCAAAACAAAGGGCATTTGGCCATCTTCACAGAATGGAGCTTGCTACACCCACCTTCACCCTGAGTGACTTTTTCTCCAGCTGAGGTAGTCTGGTCCAGTCTGGGCTCCCAAAGCACATCGGCCAGCTCACTTTCCTGTTTGTTACTGCGTCATGGGTGTAGGTCCCAGGGCTGCATCACAAAATAGCATCTGTCAGCTCAGTATAGCACTGTTACAGTGTGCCTGTGTTTATGTGTCTTACCCTGGACTTTCCTCAGCGGTGCGTGATGTCATTTTGAACCTCTGTGTAGCTGAGTTGAAAGGTGTTTTTCCAGGAGGGGAGATTCTGGACTGGCTTTGATCCTGCTGGTACTGCTGTGGTGAAGGGGTCACTGTCTGGTGGTAGAGATTATAAAGATATTTTTAGATTACACCTGACATGTTAAAGTGGTATTTCAGCAATTTTGTATTGAATTTGCATGACGTTGGGGGACTATTAAAACAAACTATGATCCCAAGTATGTTTGACTTTCAAAAACACTGGATCCTAGTCCAGTCCAGTGATGCAGAGAACCCCAATGACATCATCAGAGCTATATTTTTAAACTTTGAAAATGCTCTCAAAGTTGAACTTCATGTGTAAAATCAGTGTGCCCCTTTAAACAAAATTTGTTAAATGTACCTTGCTACAAGGTGGAAAGCGTGCTGCAGTCCTCGCAGAGAGACCATATCCTTTCTTACTCTGTGGTGTCATCTGTAAGTCATAAACTATGGTGCCAAACTGTGAGGAAAACGGAAAGAATTAGTCTTTTTGTCATATAATGAAAACTCATAAAGCAAACGACCAGTAAAATGGCGTTTTGAACCACATTGACTTCAGTCTCACAAATGTAACAAAAACAAATCATTCTGCAAAATCTCCAGATCAGCGTAGATACTGAGACACTAACCTCATGGTTGTCATAGCAGCCAGGACCGACATTCGGCGCTTCCTGTCGTGACATTTGGTTTCCCAGCCGGTCTGGTGCATAATGGAAGGGGAAGAGTTTCCTCTCCTGAGAGCTGCCAAAAAATACTCTCTGAACAGGAGCTGTTGACATTTTGGAAAACAACTAGCGGGGAATACGTAACGGAAACTAAACGGAGGAGATGTTACGCTAGCACACAGTTAACGTCGTTTCGACCGGCCATAACAGTGTTCGTGTTTCGACTTGTAACTATGGCAACCGAGTTGGTGCATAAATTATGCAAATTGAAGGCACTTCCTTGTTGACGTCAACTACACATATTTGTGTTTTGAAATAAGATAAAATTAAAATTAAAATAAAGTTATATAATGATGAAACAATTGATATGTTGAAAGACAATAAACATCAACCATATTGACAATAATTAGATCTTTCAGTCATTCATTTTTCAATGAAAATGCCAAACATTCACGCCATCCTCTAACTGAATATCTTTGGGACAGTTTGCATAAGCACACAATTTGAATAGCTGCTGGCTGCTTTAGTTTAGTTTAGTTTGTTTTTTTCCCCTGTTTTGATATTTTATCAACAAATTGATTATTCAATTAAATAACCGATTATTCAATAATGAAAATAATAAAATTTCACCTGTAAAACTAAACAAATTCACAATTAATTTATATCTTTATTTGCAATTAAAGGCAATGTACTGCACATGTCATGGCAATTGCACATCAATAAGTTTGACAAAAGCAGAACTGATGCACTGTCAGTAAATTTGTTAATTAACCTGAAGCAAATTAAATAAATTATCTGTCGAGAAAACAAAGCTTTGCAGTGGTGTACATCTGTGATTTAACCATGAGTGAAAACAGAACTAAGCCCAAGAGGAAGCATTAGCATACTTCTGTAAGGCAATTTCAAAACAGCAAACATTTCAGAAATTTCACACACTTCACAAACAATCGCATTTTATATACAGGCACTTCTTTCATTACCAGTAGTCTTTAAATTACAGTTGAGTTGGAAACATAAAAAAAAGTAGGAATTGAGGTCTGTAAAGGTCTGACAGCATCCAGTAATGACATTCATGTTGGCACAGAAGGCATTCTCTGGTAAGAGTGCAAATTATTTTTGGGAAAATATCAACTGTGTCTGGCCAATAGTGGCACAAAAAACACCTTTTAGCACAGGCACTCAAAATCAACTTGTATGAAGATAAAGGTGCATCCATTTTGGCACTTGCAAATGTGGGGAGATGAAATGGAATGTGCCTTTCATGATAATAGTATCCCAAATACAGCTTTGGAAGGATTCAGGGAGGAAAACTATAGGTGAGAATGTCAGAAGAAAAGGCAATCTGTCTGACAAATATTTTCAAAGAAAAAGGCCCAAACATACAAAAGCTATATGGCAAAGAGGGACCCTCAAAGGCCCATCTACCAGGAGGCACTGAAAGACTGAGGAGTGTGTGTGAAGAGTGCTTCACTCCGACTGAGGCACTGAAATCGATGGACCTTTGGGGTCATCGAATCGATCCATGGTGTTTAGCTGCATGATCATGTGCAGACCGTACACAAAAATTAACAGCATGAGCAGTGAGGTCAGCAGCCCCATCCAAATCCCTGGGGTGAAGAACCCTGCACAGTCATTGGCATAGGAGAAATTTGTCCCGTTTGCCAAACCGAAGCCCTGAATCTGTATTGCAAAAAACAGAAAATGTGTGAAACATTCAATTAACAACAGAAAGCCAAAAATGATACCTAATTATTTAAAAAAAGACTCGACAAAACAGTACTTGAGGTATTACTGTGGGATTGTTTAGTTGCAGAACGGAAAATGCAACATAATTGTTGTACCTGGAAGTCAATAAATTTGAGCCTCCACTGAGTTGTGTTTTGGTTGGTGTTGTTTGGCACTAGCAGAGCATCTTGGAAGCTGTTAACGGACTGGCAGTGGAAGGAATACTCTGCAGGGGCGTAGATGCCGCGCCTCCCAATGAAAGATGCAGTTAGACCGTTGGACTGCAGCTGCACAGAGTCCAGGGTGAACCAGTTCCGTGCAGACACAGGATAGAACCGCTGACTCATGGCAAAACTGGGGGATCAACAAAATAACGCCGAGATTCTTAACAACAGCACGTCATTGTATAGAATTAGTATCCTTAGTGAGAATTGTACCAAATGCTTATGGTCATTAATTAATTAATTTCTGGCTTATTTGTTCAATAAATGACACCCCTGGGTGTAGGATTTCAACTGACTGGTGATAATTTATTGCCTTACCTTAGTGTATAGCCCGATGAATAATTGAGGACAAGCCTAAAAAGAGAGAGGAATACATTTAAAATTACTTCTTATAATAAATAACTCTAAATTGAAGTTCTCTTGTCAATAATCACAGAAGAAATGCTCTCGTGCTGGGTATTTTTTTTATGAAATGATGAAAGGCCCTCTTACACTGAGTTACTGCTGTTACACATGGATCCTTCCAAGGAAGGTGTTTCTGCAGCGAGGTCGATCCACGCTGAAGAGCTTGAGAGGCTGATGTTGAGATTCTGAGCCCAGAGCATAATGCAAGGACTACCGGATACATTAAACATGATGGGTCTGACATCAGGCGCAATTGCTTGGAGCAAGGAGCGGCCCACAGACTGGTCAGACACAGACGTCTCTGAAATTACCTGGAAAACCATTACATTACAATTACAAAAATATACCTTGCTTATACTATAATTCTGGTACATGATAGGCCAACTGTTTTGTGTGGTAGTGAGAATATCTTACTCGAGATGGCTGGAGTCCTGTGTATATCGCAGTGTATGGGACATTTTTGGTTTTCATGATTCCAAGAACTTCCCCAATTATCTCATCTGTTGAAAGCAAAATACACTTGTGTTACACAATGTATGTGTCAAAAATTGGTGCTTATAATTTGACACTATGAAATTCCATCACAGTTAACACTTACCATTGTTATGCAGGACTTCTTTGCAAGACTTGTGCAGGCTATTAAATGATAAAAAATGTTAATTTTCCTCATGCTTTGTTAAAAAGAAAACAATACTTCCATTCATTGATATACAGCAGAGAACAAAAGCCTCACCCAGTACAATAAGGAAGATTGATGAGCAACAGATTGCTGACAGATGTGTTGATGCTCAGATGTGACAGAGTGTCTGCGTCTACAAGCAAAGGAGAGACACCAAGCTTCTCCTGCAGCAGAGCCAGGATGGCAGAGGAGCCTGACCACTCTAAGGCTGGAAGTGTGACTGATGACGAAGAAGTCTGAACTGCAGCCTGAAAAGGAGTGAGTGGAAATAATTATCCGTCTTATGAGTCTGGAAAATCATCTTCATTTAGGACTAATGTATAAGTTGTAAAAACCTACCTCAAGGTTTTGAAAGGCACTATCCTGTTTGTTTCCAAACACTCCACCAAAGACTGTGAAGTCATCTTTGCTTAACTGAACACAGATAAAGACAATAAAATATGACAGTCCTCCTATATCAGCAGAAACTGTGAAAATTGCATACATTTAAACATAAATCCAGTATATTAATGTATCAGGAGCAGGAACATAAAACACAGGGAGCAAACCGGAGTGATGAATGTGTAATAGAGGAACTGCGATATGGGAAGTAAGGCCAAACGTCATTGTCAAAGCAGAATGAAAAGACTGTTACACAGTGTCTCGTGGGACTGCAGTGCAGCTACAAATGACTCATTACTGCCCTGTTTTACACAACTTATATATCCAAGGACAAGCGCTCTAATAGATGAAAATCTGAGAGAATCTTTCATAAGGCTGAAGTCTCCTCAAAACTTTTCACTGTTAGCTCCAATCTGTCTAGTGACATACTGCAACTGTTTTTACTACAGAGGAGGAATATAGTTTTCATGTCTCGGGGGCTGACCTTGTCCTGGAGAAACAGCAGCACAGTGTGGGGGCCCGAGCCTAAGGCAGTGGTGAGGTAGGCAGTCAACTGGTCATTGGATATGATGTGACCAGCTGCAGGCAAGGCCAGTGGTGGTAAGCTGAACATGCAGGGAAGATAAGGACAAATTGTGATGTCTTTTACAATTTTTTCTCAGTTGCCTTAAAATATTTCTATAACACAATTGTAGATCTAAAAACATTTAGTACAATCACCAGCAAATAATTCATCAACCAGCACATCACTGCCACCAAAATATCATTACTATTTATCACTGTTTTAAGTCAAGACAGTCAAACATCTAAGGAATCAATATGCCAGAGAATACTGAAACTGTTTTTATATTTCATTTGTCATTCAGACTTAGTTATGGTAACCCAAGAAGTCAAACATTCTCTGCAGAAAACTGAATGTCCATCAGAGCCCATGTCATGCAGACTCTAGGTCTAAGTAAAAGTGCTACACTCACAAGTGTTTTAACTGTTAGTATGCACCTTCTATTCATATTGAAGTCACATTTATTATTAAATTTGTAGTCTCATTTAGATCAGGATCTCTTTTTCAAGAGAGACCTGTGTACAAAAAATAAACATATAAAGTTTATACATAGACAGACACATACATTCAAAGGGCTTACAGTGAACACACACAGATAAGTCACAGACATACATTATATACAGACATACATACACATATATGCAGTTTTTCTTTTCTTTTTTCAGAGCTCATTCTATATGTATGCAGTGTAATATTTGAAACCAGTTTTCCCACGATCAGTGTGGACAAGGGGTACAGCTAAAGTTACGAAACCATGGAGTAGTTCTGATGTCTATGTCCTCCCTGTGACCCCAACCACCACACACAGTAGTATATTATAAATTTCCTACATTTCCCCTTTTTAGAGCGCCATGTTGTCTCCGCCTAATGTCTGTCTGCCCCTCAGTACCATCGTAAAAGCCAACTTTACCACCTACGTGGTAAATGTGGAAGAGAAATAACAGAGCATAAGTTGCACTTCTGAACTAAGTTTGACAATGTGATCATTTACGCTTCGGTCTGAGGCTGAACATGTTAATAATTGAACTTTAGCGCTGAGTAATTTAAGATATACATAATATCGGCTGTTTTATGACACTGCCAGATTACAAAAAAAACATTAAACAGCCTTGTCCTGATAGAAGTACAGACCGAGTTAGCTACAATTGTTAGCATTAGCAGCCGGGCAGTGCTAATTATGAGTGAGTCTTACTTGACAAATAAAGAAGGGAGATAAAAAATTACCCGTCACTGGACCACATTAGAAGTGGCACTTGAGCGGTGGAGCTCCCTGTAGCGAAAAATGCGAAGAAAATGGCAATAAAAGCCGTTAGTCGCACTTTTCCCGAGCACCTCGGTCCTGCCATTTTCGTTTTCCGCAAATCTGTGGTCACGTGACACAAACCAGCTGACGGTCATGTGCGGTCGTGCTAAAGAAAGACAGTACTTCCTGCTGCTTCCATTCAGCTCGCCCTGCCCACAACTAATGTAACCCTGCACTACGACAGGCTGCAGCCTTGTACACCTTGTACTGCTCAAACTTAGCAATGGTTTAACTTCTCCCAGCCTGGACACAGTCAATCACCACTGCTGGAATGTAACACAGTAAATTTACTCAAGTATTTGTGCTTAAAAGTACAAATCTAAAGCACTTATACTCATGGCCTCCTAACTGACCTCTGGGCAGAGATTTATAACTGGGCCCCTGTTGACTCCAACTGTGCAGTTGCATTATTTCCCTAGTCTCCCAGAAACCAACCAATACTCTTCCATTTGATTAATTGATTAGTTGATTGTCATAAAATTAATTGGCAGTATATTTGATAACTGATCAAAGTCTTTTTTAAAGGAAAAGTGCCCTTTTTGTTGTTGTTGCTATTTTCCCAGTTTTCTATGAAAGTAAACTGAACTAGGGCTGCAACCAATGATTGTTTTCATTATCGATTAATCATTTGATTTTTCTTGATTTATCATTTTGTATATGCAGTGTTAAAAAACTGAAATATGCCAGGGTCAATTACCCAGTGCCTGATGTCCTAGAGATGACATATACAAATGTTTTGTCCAATCAACAGGCCAAACCCAAAACTATTCAGTTTACAATTGTTTATGACTCAGAAAAGCAAATTAACCAGCAAATGGCCTTACTGCTTAAGAAATGACCAAAACAATTATTTAATTATCAAAATAGTTGCCAATCATTTTTTTGGCAGATCAACTATTACTGCAGCTCTAAAGTCAACATCTTTGCATTTTATTAAAGAAAATATTGTCAGATGTATTGATAATGAAAATAATTAAATAATTGTTGGCAGTAACCTTACAGTTCTCCTATGATGGAATAATTCTACCTTACATGAGATTTTTGTGTTGACAAACACAAAAACGCAATAGCATTGCTGTGTGTTTTTGTTCAACAATAATACAGCCATAAATGTTGGTAAACCATACACACATAGGCTTTCACTTTCTGATAGATGATCAGGTTTGCAGTTAATAAAAGGTTCTACAACCCATTACATTTGCAACTCTAAGTGTTAATAAGCAGTTTATAAATGGATTTTGGCCCATATGTTCTGCAGCACCTTTCCAGAAGTAGTCAAACAGCCCATTGGTGAGGTCTCCCTAATGAATAAAAGAGCTAAAAATACAGACAAAGTGTCATACTGGAGGAGGACTTTCCACAGTCTGACAACCCAAAAGTTGTTCTTATTGCTGGATTATAAGATATCTATAAGGCATTAGTAAATGATGTATCATTACCATTAATAAATCCATGAATTACATCTTATAAACCCCTTTATCAATGATGCTTTTCAGACAGTCATACTAATAACAGTGGCTTTCATAATACTGACTGTGCCGTTAACAGACATGTAGTGTGTATAATGCAGCTGAACTCTGCTCTTGTGAATGTGAATCAATGACAGGTACACCTGGCAACTGTCCATGGTGCTGACACATTTAAAATTTGACTAATTTCACTATTTGCACCATTATAACCCACCACCCATGTATGACATTAATAAATACAGTGAAATGGAAACAAAGACGCAAAAAAAGTACAAGTAAACTTTTAACATTTTTTGTATTGAAAAGGTCTGCGTGCGTTCAGTCAGTGAAAGCAACTCCCATCCACACAGCTGTGGTGGCGGAGGGATACAGCTGCCTGCATCATCCACGCAACGCTGCGCCTACAACTGGAAAGGAAGGACAGAAAAGAAAATAGAGAACATACAGACTTATACAAAATGTATTAAAAATGTAAAAAAAATTGTAAAACACCAAGTCAAACTCTAAACCGAAACTGAACATGTGCACAATCGCTCGATAAAGCCAGCTCAGAGCCGGGGTTCCTATTACAGACAGCTTTTCGGTTTGAGCCCATTGTGTGGCAACATGGGAAAAGAGAAGGAGGATGCGCACTATTTCCCGACGCGCAGTGACATTGTTCTAGAGTGCTCCACGATCAGGGCCATCTTTGGTCGTCCTCGCCGGTGACAGTGTGGACAGTATATTGCATTGGTCATTAATGCCTAATGATTAATAAATAATATTTAACTTTGAACGAGCCGTTTGAAAGCAATCGGGCAGAGACAGAGAGCCAGTTTCCCGGTTGGTGGACTCACTGGCATTCTTTCCTTCAATACCCTTCATTTCTCAAGGCAAAAAGAGGGCGAGACGGGAGAGGCGGTGATACAACATGGATGAGGAATATGATGTGATCGTTCTGGGCACCGGACTCACAGTAAGTGGTAAAGCTTAATTTGTTCCGCACAGAAAACAGAGCAGATTGATTGTGGGAGCTTTCCAAAAGATGACTTTATCCAGACTACGGGCCCGCTATCCTCTCTTCCGTAGCCCAGAAGTGAAAGCCTCCCGCATCCCTGTGTGCTTGTGACATTAGAAAATCCTGATAAGAGATGCGCTTCAGAAAAAAAAAAAAAAATCTTTAAATGAAGCACTCGACCTGCTTGTGCATCACAGGGAGGAAACAAAGCTCCGGGAGTTATATATTTTTTTCATTCTCCCGGCCGGCTTCAGTGTTGTGTTACACCCTGTAGCATCTCTTAGGCGTAACCCCACAGTGTGTCATGGTCCCCGTTGCATAGACAGGCCTCCATCCTGAGGTTGGCGCAGGCCTAAGCACGGGTTTATTTAATGACTGAGCCTTTCACTGCTGCCACTCTCGCCGCAGTTCCCTTCACTTATCACACCCACCTATCACAAACATGTCTGACACATTTTGTGCGATAATAATCGAGGGTTTCACGTGCGTAAAAGTCGACATTTTGGTAGTTTTTTTAAAGGTATCAAATATCCTTTTGTCAACTCGTAGTCACAATAACTTATTTATGATGTAATTATGTCATTCGGACATCATTATTAAGAATACTAGCAATTATTATTAATTTTTTTTATCATTCTTCTTTTTATTATTAGTTCAGTGGATACATGGGTGAAACAATCCAGTCGCGCATGCGCACAGCGTGCCTCCTGTCCTCCCCTGCAGCCGTCTGTCAAACCCTCTCAACTTGCATTTACACTCATTTACCAGTTTGTTAGGAACACCTAGATAAAACTAATGCAGTCTAACACCACAGTCCTGCAACAAATCCTCTCTTCATGAAGGTTATAATGTTCAATTTTGTTGCACCTGTTTTAGAGAGGTGTTGATTCAACTTTATGATCATTTTGGAGGATGCAGTTCGTTGTGATCTTGGATTGTATTGCATTGTATTGACTGAGTCCCGAGGGACCTCCTTCTCAAGTCGTTTTTATTTGGTGTCTTTTCATTTTCAAATTGATGCTACTTTACAGAAGATAATGCTGGGTATTAAATCTTGTTTTATGCAGGAATGCATTCTGTCTGGGATCATGTCTGTGAATGGGAAAAAGGTTCTGCACATGGACAGGAACCCCTACTATGGTGGCGAGAGCTCTTCCATCACCCCCCTGGAGGAGGTAAAGGGCTCCTGGGATCTATAAAACCAATCAATATATTTTTACGTCCCTCAGTACATCTCATTTTGCTTCCAGTGTCATCAGCTGCTGTTTTACTGTCTCCATTTATCCTCCGTAATGTCTCAGATTCTGTGAGCTTCATAGATTTCTGCTGCACAGGATGTTGCTGATGTCTCTCTTTCTTGTCATCTTCCACAGCTGTACAAGCGCTTCAGTCTCCCAGATAGCCCGCCTGAGTCAATGGGTAGAGGAAGAGACTGGAACGTTGACCTCATCCCCAAGTTTCTCATGGCCAATGGTCAGTCCCCCATCACTGAGTCTGTATAGAGGGAATATATAACCTTCAAGCTCTCATCATTTATTACTGAAATAAGAAATTTAATACAGAAATAAGGAATTAACTAATCAGACTACACATAGATGTTAAAATGTAACATATGTCTGTGTGTGGTTGCAGGTCAGCTTGTGAAGATGCTGCTATACACAGAAGTGACACGGTACCTTGACTTTAAAGTGGTGGAGGGAAGCTTTGTCTACAAAGGAGGAAAGATTTACAAGGTGCCGTCAACCGAGACTGAGGCGCTAGCTTCAAGTAAGTCGCTTGAATATGTATCGTCACAATTTGTATGATACAAAGAGAAGAGTATTTAAATCACAATTAAATAATCAACATTAAGGCCTTTTTTGGTAATTCCAGATCTGATGGGCATGTTCGAGAAGCGAAGGTTTCGCAAGTTCTTAGTCTTTGTGGCCAATTTCGATGAGAATGACCCCAAGACCTTCGAGGGCGTGGACCCCAAAACCACAACGATGAGGGATGTTTACAAGAAGTTTGACCTCGGCCAGGATGTCATTGACTTCACCGGCCACGCCCTGGCCCTCTACAGGACAGATGAGTAAGAACAACAAACCTATTCACAACCTGTTAACAATCTTTAATACCTTAATTTTTCTTAACAGGTGCCTTTATAATTTTAACACATCTTTATTGAGCAATAGATGCTCTAATGAAGATGTTACAAAGCTTGAATTAGTAACTGACCACCTAATTTCTGATACACTTCATTTTTTAAATAAACCACTCACACACACACACACACACAATGAGTAGGATTTTTTTAAACAAACATTTATGTAGGTCAGGATCAACTTCCTCTTGTTTTTCTTCTCTGTCAGCTACCTTGATGTTCCCTGTTTGGACACAATCAATCGTATCAAACTGTACAGTGAATCACTGGCACGGTACGGGAAGAGCCCCTACCTCTACCCCCTGTATGGACTGGGAGAGCTGCCGCAGGGATTTGCCAGGTATTTTAATAGTTATTGATCATTATGTATAGATTTGTCTTTAATATTAAATACAGAAGTACAATATCAGTCTTATTCACTTTTATTCACTATAGGTTGAGTGCAATCTATGGAGGAACCTACATGCTGAACAAACCAGTGGATGAGATAGTGATGGAGGGTGGACATGTGATCGGAGTGAAGTCTGAGGGCGAGGTACAGCAGAGTTGTTCTTAATTATTATGCAAATTTAACAATTTAATAATAACAAGCACTAGAGTGGATGCACAGTGAGTTTATTCACCCTGATATATTCACTCAGAGGAGATAAGAACATGAGCCCTGTAAGATGTTGCATGCATGTCGCTGTCTCCTTCATGCTGCAGGTGGCTCGTTGTAAGCAGCTCATCTGTGACCCCAGCTACATCCCGGACCGTGTCCGTAAGGCAGGTCAGGTGATCCGCGTTATCTGCATCCTCAGCCACCCCATCAAAAACACTAATGACGCCAACTCCTGCCAGATCATCATTCCTCAGAATCAGGTTAACCGCAACTCAGGTGAGGGTCATTGTCACTTTTCAGCGAATACTCTAAATGGTTAGACGTAGTGTCACAGAGTGAAGTTCTTAGAAATTGGAGCAATGACACCATTTACAAATGTAATTGATTTGATTTTAAGCCCTGGAGCTATGGAGCTCACTTATGGAGACACATGACATTATGCATATTTCGAACTTTCATCCTTTCAGAGAAACAAGTCAGTTTTAGTGTCCATGTCCAAATGAGCTGATTATCCTTAAGCACTAAAAAATTTGATTCCATGTCGAATGGTTACATACAAGCATTATTTTTAACTCTTAAAACTGCTGTTATCAGTTATCTTATATTAATAACAACATCATATGACTACTTGTATGTGAAACGGGTCGCTCTAAATAACAAACACACAGAGAATTATCCTCCAACTCTGCATTACTCCTCAGCTTGCCAAAAAATTTAGTGTCTTTTAGCTCATTGAGTTGATTTTCTGATCTGTAACTTCACTGTTTTGGTTCATTCTCATGGCTTAGCATTTCCAGATGCAGCTTGCAGCTCTTTCCAGTGAATAAACTCTAAAAACCTACAGTGTCTTAATATAAAATGACTCCAAATTAATGATATATCCTGGATATGTACTGTATCTAGGCAGGTGTTTGCGAATAAGTTCACCATAACAGCTACATAATATGTCACTGGTGTGTTTAGAGTTTATTTCTGCTGCCCCCAAATGGCCAAAAAACTTCTCCTCCTTTTAACCCTTTTCTCAATTCTCCAGACATCTACGTGTGCATGATCTCCTATGCTCACAATGTGGCGGCCCAGGGGAAGTACATTGCCATAGTCAGCACCACAGTGGAAACCAGCGAGCCCGAGGCTGAGATCGAACCGGCCCTGGAGCTGCTGGAGCCCATTGACCAAAAGTCAGTCGCACTATTACTTCTACTGATTTCTTTCATTCAAAATGTCATGCAACTCGTTTTTAACAAACAAGCAGATGTTGACATGATATAAAAATATTTAAGAATTCTTGTGATTCATAACTGTATATATTTAAGGGAGTTCTTTTTTTTCCAGGTTTGTGGCTATTAGTGACCTTTATGAGCCCACAGACGATGGTACTGAGAGTCAGGTAAGACTGTTTTCGCCAACAAAATTGCAAGATAAAAACCTATTTCCTGAGAAAAAACGAAATGATTCTCATGGCCAATATTTTAGTGGTGTCGTTCTATGAAATATCTGAAATGTCTCAACAGCTATTAGGTGGATTGCCATCTAAACCTGCTAAACATCAGCATGTTTGCATTGCCACTGTGGGCATGTTAGCTTGCTGATGTTAACAGTTAGCTTAAAGCCTCGCTGTTACTAAATACAGCCACACAGAGCCACTAGCTGAGCTGTAGATTCTCAGTCTTATTACTTTATCCTCCCCAGGTCTTCGCCTCAAGGTCCTATGATGCCACCACTCACTTTGAGACCACTTGCAACGACATCAAGGACATCTACAAACGTATGACCGGGAGCGACTTTGACTTTGAGAACATGAAACGCAAACAGAACGATGTGTTTGGGGAGGATGAGCAGTGAGCGGGTAGTGTGGGGTTTCCCGAGAGAGAGGGCGGGGCTGGGAAAGGAGACGGGGCGAAAACGGGGCAAAACAGGCGGCAGAGCCTGCGGCAGAGGGGCCGGGGGGGGGGCTGCCTGAGCAGTGCTTTAAAAAATAAAACAAATGGGGTTGGGGGTCAAATTAAAAGAAGCAAGAGCGTGGCGTAGAAGAAGAAGAAGGGGGGTATTGTTTCTGGGCTCTGCCCGCCCTGAGCCGTTTGCCTCCTTTTCCTTACTCCCTCTCTCTCTTTGACACGCGTTCAAACACATAAATGCTCACAAACACACACACACACACATACACGCTGTTCCAATACTCACACTCCCTATCTCTGTCACTGAAAAGCAGGGTTGATATGGTCTTTCATTCCATTGTAGACTTTACAGTATAATCATGTCTTAACTATTATCTTTAGAGGTGAATTTATTACTTGTTGTTGGCGATTTTCAAAGCATTTCATTCTTTCTGTAATGTCTCTCTCCTCATATCAGAGGTTGGCGTGGATGGGAAGTTTTGATGGCATTGAGAGGTGCAGACCGCGAGCTCTGACATGAGAGACCCTGTAACGGCTTAGTGTAGAATCCTCTGGGAGGGTCACCTCCAGTTGACATGCATGCATCTTTTACACACAGTAGTATTGTACATAGACTCAAATGACACTGCGGTATGAAGGCTGGACCATTCCACGCATCGCTCCTGTCAACCCTGCTTTCACTTTTCTCTTACTTGGTCTTTTACCTGTGTTAATTCAATAGACGCCGCTCCTTTTGGCAAAATCTGTTGATCGGGCAAAGAAAAAAAAATGTGATGAAAAGTTACTTATAAATGGGCTGTTCTGTCAACTGATAGTGCTCACTTTGCAATGCTGTTGTGTTTCCCTGTGCTAGCAGGCAAGCTAACCAGTGGCTATTAATTGTCACCCCCTCAAAAAAAAAACAATTGTTGCTTTGTTTTTCTCTGTTTTGTGATGTCAATTTTGAATTTCAATAGTTTCTAACATTTTAAATTATTGAAGAGTTTTATTTCTATATATTTGGTGCACATTTCACTGGCTGAAGTTATGAAGTTTACAGAGCTGAGGTTGAAACTGTGGTCTTCAAGCTGAACATAAAAAAAGGGAATGTCGGGAGCTATAGAGGAATGGAGGGGATTTGTCTGGTTCTGGGTAAAGTATTCTGATTTGAAACGAGTGATGAAAACAAAGCTGATTGTGGTAAATGATACACGGCTGAGATTGCGAGGAAGTGCGCCATGGTTGGGGGAAAAAGAATGTATGCGGAGAATGTTGTTGATTTGACGTTTGCGGAGTTTCACCTTTGAGTGAAAAGAAGGCGAAGACTGAAATTTCGGCTCATAGTGAAAGCACCGGATTGTGTCTTGGTTGTTTCAACCCTTGTGTGTGTGTGTGTCATTGAGATAAGTAATTCCCCTAGAAACTCAATCTTATGAAGAACTGTAGTTGTTAAAATAGAGGGAAAAGCTGGAATCTCCCATCCTTTTAAAAGACTTTGTAGCAAAAGTATGAAGCCACAGTTACAAGTGCCGCCCCACGAGAATGAACCAAGATGCTTTTATTTGGTTGCAGCCTTAATTTTGGGGTCTGATTCAAATGTTTGGGCCCTTTCAAAAAAATTTGACTGCTTTGTTTTAACTAACAGTTAGTGGCAGGTCAGTCTTGTGCCAAAAATGGTGTCGCTGTTATTGGCAAAACTTGCTGGCAATGTTAAAAGTTCAGTTTGGTCGCGCTTGTTGCTGTGCAGATCTGTCTGAATACTATGGAGGGGGATATTGTTTTCTACACCTGAGTGGAGGCAGCTCCTCATATATCTCTACACAGTGCACGCACTGATCTGTGGCTCAGCTTGTTACACATCAATAAACAAATAGATGAGACGCTCTGATCATTTCCTTTAAAAAAGCATTTCACTTTACCCACCAGGACCAGTCCCTTAACAACTCGTTTGGGATGTTGATGTGTCTTATTGTTATGCTCTATTTATTTGAATTTCACTGATGTATTGAAAAAGGTTTTTATGTCAGACGCATATGCTACGCTGTTAGTTTATGATCCGACGACGAAATGGATTTTAAAAGTGATGCACACCGAAAATTACCTGTTTTTCGTTTGTTATTTGCTGTGTTCATGTGTTATGTTTACCTTAATTACCTTAATCATTCCAGTGTGGTTTCATGATTTAATATGATTATTGAGCATTCCTAAGAAACAGGTTTTGATGGAAAGATAACAGTCTGACATGGAGCTGAAATCAAAATCTAAACAGCTGTGTACTCACAACAGTTTCACAACCGTGCGTCGTTCAGAATTGTGTGTGGTCTTCATCCTGGAAACATGTTATTGGATTAAAACTGGAACACTGTTTACTCTTCGAACATAGATATATTTGAAGCCCTCCCTTCCCCTGACCTTTCCTCAGCATCAAATACTGTCCTCTCTCTTTTTTTTAATTTATTGAAAACAAAAGCCTAATGTGTGGTCGTACTGTTTTACTTTCCATCCAGTTTGGCCTTTGAAAAACCACTATTGACAACATCCCTTGAAATTGACAAAAGAAATAGTTCAGGCTGAGTAGTAGAAAACTTACTGTCCTTGTTTGATCACTAGTATGTGAACAATGCCTAATGTCTTGTGTAACAAATAAAACGAATTAAACTATGAATGAAATGATAGAAAAATAAAAAGCACATGGCAAACCTGGAAAAGACCCTGATTTTGTTCTGTGGTTCTTTTGCGTGAGTGAGGGACCTTCAGTGGGAAGATTGTCTATACATACATACAATAGTATTTTATATACACTTGTGCTAAAAATACAACTTACAGAATGATAGAATTTTAATAATTACACATTATTCTGAAGTAGAAGATTCTGGCTTTGCCTAATAATCATCCAATGATGAGATATAAGAATAATCTGTATAGATATCTTTGAAGTTGAGTTGGTGGTGCATGACATTTCAGAGCAAGCACAAAACTGCTGCAGCACAAATGGACATGATGTGGTTGCCATGCGACCAGCAGAACATTGTGTCTCTGTCAGAACACAGAGCTTGATTCCAATTCAAATTCAGGAGAAGGCACAAAAGAATCATTCAGTCCTTCATTATACTTGTTGAACTATACGTCCTCATTATTCCTTCATTTGCAGCTTGTTTTTTCTTCACTGTAGTCTAACCTGTCACCCCCTCTTTTCCTCTTCAGCAACCACACCTGTGTTTCACTGCGCCTTACAGGATATCTGACAGCCTCATTCAGAGACTGTGGCAACATGTCATTTTAGCCTTGTGGAGTCCCAGTTCTTTTTCGTCCTTTGTCCAGTAACCACACCGTCATAACTGCTGTGACCTGCAGGGAGGCACCAATGTGGAGCTGACTCAGCTAGAATTACACACGATCCACCACGTAGCTCTCATAGGGATGACCCAGAAGTCTCTGTATCTCTGCCTTAGGCACCACCCAACACTTGCCCATGTGGCGTTTCCGCACCGAGTCTTTCAGCGTCTTGTCTTGCAGGGTGACTGGCATGTGCTCTGATCCCCACCTCAGGATCCCCCTGGCTAAAACTCCCTCTTTGCTGGCTCGGTGAGCGCCTCCACCCACATGATCCTTCACCACCGTCACACTCATGTCAGTGTGTTGAAATTGGCCTGTAAGCAGATAAATGGTGGAACATAACTAAGTATATTTACTTAAGTATAAATTTAAGGTACTTGTACTTTACTTGTGTTTCAATTTATGGCACTTTATAGTATTTCTAGGGAAATGCTGTACTTTCTACTCATCTACTTTTATTTGACAGTTACTTTTGTTTTATTAGATTTTGTTTAAAATAAACATACTAAACTTAGAAAATACAATGCAATGGTAAAAATTAAGTCCAGCGTACCCCAACCTGTTTGACTTGTAGTGATAAGCTAAAAATACAAATGTGAAAATATTCAATTACAAGTAAGAGTCCAGCATATAAAATCATACACAAGTAAAAGTACATCAGCAAAATGTGTTTCAAGAATTAAAAGTAAAAATACTTGTATATAACAAGTATTTTTTACTTAAATGATTCTAATACTGTATATCATTATATTAGATTCTTGACATTTCTGCAACAGTGTGTAAGTAGGATTTTACTGTTGTAGTTGGTTGAGGTGGAGCTGATTTATGGGGTGCAAACGAAAAGAATTTGCCTCAAGTTTATATTCTTTTGTTTTGGACTAATCTGTAATTTCTGCTTTAATATTTTATGATACAAATGATCATTTAGCTCTTACAGAATTACTTTTGATACTTTACAAGTAGCAATCTCAAAGATCTGTGTTTCATTAACTTTGGCGACACCTATGGCCACATATGGTAATTGCAGGTTTGTTTGCAAGCCAGAACATCACCTTCTGGCACAGTTCTGGCAGAACTGCTGGGTGATTTTGTAGGTGATTCATACCAGACACTCAGTTTATAAAACTGTAAAATGCAAGAACTTCTATATAATTTAATCAGTGACTCATAGGCCCAATCACCTTGGGCCCTGGATTTTGCATCCAGGGCTTTTACTTGTAATGGAGTATTTTTACATTGTTGTATTGGAACTTTTACTGAAGTAAAGGATCTGAATACTTCTTCCCTCAGTGGTGTACATACCCAGCAGGCCTTGGGTTGAGGCAGACAGCCCCCGTCCATCTGTGATGTAGAAACCCAGGTGAGCCATTTGTAGGTAACTGGGTTGTTTATAGTGGTGGAACAGGACCAGGAACCGTACATCCTTGGCCAGTTCAATCCAGCAGCTCCGATGGTTGTCCACAATAACCGTCACACCTTGCCTCATCACCAATCCCTGCTGATTGATGGGAAGGGTATCACGCCCTTCCCCTTCCACTACTACAGTGTCCAATGAGATTGTGATCATGATGCCACCAGAGCCACCAGTGGCTGTGGAGATGGTGAGGCGATTGAAGTAGGTTCGGGGGCGGTCTTCAACGCCATGCTTGGAGGGAGCTCCTATCAGTTGGCCATCCACAATGATCCCTTGAGGAGGAAGGAAAGCCATGTATACAATTGATAATGCACCCAAAAAGTAATGCGGGCACCCAAAATATGTATATTATTACGACATATTGTTACAATGCATACCTCTGTCTGGGTCCTCTAACAGTCTGAGAACATCTTTAGCCCTGCCGTCTACTGTGAAACACAGGTTCTGATGCAGCTTTGGCAGCTGGACCACAAAATGTGGATCTCCATCAACTACAACAGACAACACTGAGCATTAATATGTAAATGCCCAAAAAATAAGAAATGACTTTTAGGGTGTAATTAAAAACAGATAAATTGTAAGCTCTTGACCTGAAGAGGAGAAGACCCTCACGGTGCTCAGTCTAGATGGAGGCTCTAAAAGCACAAGACATTCAACTAAAGGACAGTCCTCCTGACTCCCAAGCACTGAAACCAATCACAGGACTACTCATGTATTGCAAGTGTTGCGTGGTTTCTACAATAAATCACATATTATTGAAGACATAGGGCATAAGGCAACTCTAATCAGCAGCCACTAAATACTTACCAAATGATCCGGTGTCTGCAGTATCATCCCCTGAAAATATATCAGAAATATGTTGAGTTTTTTTTTTTTTTTTTTTTTTCGATTTTCAGGCTTGAAAAACAGCTAGAGTACAGAGCTGCTTCTGATAAACATCTAAAACTTACAGGCATCATAGCTGAGATCGTAGTCGTAGTCATAAGTAGCGTCGTAATCTGGGAAATGGAGTTTAGGATACATTTTGATTCTCAACAAGGAATTTTAATTTTAGGGGCAACAACAGGATATGAAGTGTTAATGGTTATACTCACCTTTCACAAGGTCAATATCTATTTAACAGAAAAGAAATAAAACAATATATTACTGACTATTTGGGTCCAATGCTGTAATTTAATTGATTATCCGTTATGACATAACTAAATTGCTGTCAGAGTATTTATTACATTTAAACAGACGTACAATACATTAACTCAATACTGTACTCAAAGGGGCTATTTGTAAGTTTCCTCTGCTATCAAACGTGGTTTCTTGCTGGAAGCAGTTGGTGGTGATTGTCACTTGACAAGAACTTCAGCCATCATTGTCCTCATAATATAAGAGGTGATAATGCTCCCTCTGAGCAGCGCTACGTCTTCAGGGCAGATTGGAGGCTACAGTGAGTCGCTATCGGAAGATGACAAGACCGGCCGGGGCCGAGTTAACATTGGAGTTGATTTCCACCTCTGGAAATGCTGTTGGTGAGTAAAGGAATGAAGTTTGATGCTGAACTCACAATGTTTCTTTTAGACTAGTATGGAAACAGCTGTTAATGCTAACGTTAGCTATGTAGCGATAGCAAAACTTAAAAAATAGCTCTTTTAAGTACAGTTCTGAGGTACTGGTATTTCCATTCCATTATTTCAGTTTGCTTCATTAATTTGACAGCTATAGATATTAGTTACTGTTCAGATTAAGACTGTACATTTTATAAGATAAATGATGAACTATAAATAAATATTTGAGGCACAAAGAGGTAAACATTATTTAGGTAATCAAAAACAAGAATACAAATTTGTGTGGCAGAATTCAGGTGTTTCTTCGGTCATACTGCAGTAATCATCTCATGAGCCCTTAGATTTATCATGAAACCCTTTTGAGGGGCGCTGACCCTAGGTTGGGAACCGCACGACTAAGCTAACTGTGTATACAGTAAAATACCTGAAACATAGCTACACCTCAACCAGCTACAACAGTACAATGTTATGCATTGATGCTTCAGCATGACCTCTTTAAGCAGATTTTGCTGTTATTAATTATTTATTTTCACTTCCACAGGATTTTAAATTACAGGACTTTTAATTGTAATTGTATTTTTTACCTACTTTTACTAGTAAAGGATCTGAGTCCCTCTTCCTTCACTGCATTTAAATGCATCTCTACCAGATATAATGCAATTTAAAATTGATTTGTTAATGTAGGGAGGAAGTCAAGTTTTACCTTTCCTCTGAATCTGAATGGAAGTAGAGACATCTAGTGGAGAGAGAAAAAAACATTCAGCTAGGGATAAATAAACAAAGTCTGCGTGCATAATATTCAGTTTGTCACTCCTCAGGGCACAGAAAGGCTATGATTGCAAATTAGAAACAGAACGTACCCAGAAGCCCTGCTGCCTCCCACAGTCGTGGCCCATCTGTTACACCAGGCATGGGAGCGAAGGTGGCTGACACCAGGGTAGCAATGCTGAGGTCTGTGTCAACACCTGCATTTGTGTTGTTGACTTCCGCAGCCGGTGCTGGTGCCGGGGTAGGGGAAGTGAGTGGAGACGACAGCTCTTGAGGCAGAGCAGTGGTGATTCCAGACTGAGGAACATCTGGAGCAGATGTGCTGCTGTTGTCTGCCTCTGTCACTTTGACAGGAGGATGAGCTGTCCTCACTGTGCTGGGCTGTGGGGTAAGGTGTCTGCCGGGCAGGGGCACAGGGTCAGTTCTGACTGAGCTGAGGGGAGGCGTTGTAGTGAATGTTAGCATCGAGGGAGTGGTTGTTTTCATGGCATTGGCCTGGGGTGTGGAGACTTTTCCAGGTGCAGGTGGTGGTGCTGTTTTTAGAGCATTGAGCACAGATGTGGATATCTTTCCAGCAGGAGGAGGAGAGGCAGGTTTGGAATCATTATGGGAAGGAGTGGGCTTTTTACCAGATAATGGTGCTGGAGCAGTTTTGATGGAGCTGGGACTTGTGGTTGTAGTTGTAGTTTTCTTGGATGGTGAAACCACTGTTTTTCCTGTGGAAGTTGATGATGAGCCTTTTTTAGTTTGTAGTGTATTTGGAGGTGGCTGAGGAGGGTCTGGTTTTGTTTTGTTAGGCCTAGGGTTAGAAGGTGTGCTGGGTTTCTTTGCAGCACTAGCAGCTGGTATTTTGGTGGTAGCAGTAGTTGTTGTTGTTGTGGTTATAGTGGCTGCTGTGGTGGGTTTTGCAGTGGTTGGAGTTTGAGCTGCTTCATCTGTATCTGGCTTAACTACAACTAAAGAAGTCACTGGTGTTACAAAGTTGTATTTGAGGGAGAGATTTGTGGCTTTTTCTGCCAGTAACCTCTGAGTTGCGGGGTCAGTAGCGTTCAGTTTGGCCAGTAGCAGCTCTTTGATGGTGAAATACGCCCAGAGACGATGCACAAAGCTGGAGATACCTTCTAAACCACCTGAACAGTCTAATGAATCTGCAGTATCATTCCCCTTTGCATGGGAAAGCATCACATCATTCTCCATCTTGACACGTTGCTTTGAATCAGTGGCAGACATTGACACCTTTAAATCTTTGACCCCAGCTTTAATCCTCCCAGCCACAACCAACTCCGAGCCTTGGAAGTAGTTCGGAAACAGGGAGCGGGTTATGTCAAATGCCTGATCATCCAGGTATGACAGCTGGATGTCTGATAGCAGAGGGCTGGCTACTTCATCATAGAAGCCCTTCAGCTGCAAGGCCGCATCCGCATCCTCGTACACCATCCTGGCTACGCCTCGGTTATCCAGAGCCAGGCGTTTCAGGAGGAGGAAGTCCGCATCATCGCCAAAGGCAAGACCAAATAGAGAGGCTGAGCCTAAGGCCTTCTTGGCGTTACTGAGGATGGTGTCACCAGCTGTTACCCCGATGGTGGCTTCCCCATCAGTGAGGAAAATTACCAGGGGGACACGACGAGATGAGAGGTGTTTGGAAGAACCCGGGGACGGAGGGTTGACGAGCTGGGCAGCTGAAAGTAGAGCTGCATTGATATTGGTCCCTAAGACAAGAGTGGAACAATGGGGACAATGAGTGTTGAAGGTGGAGAACAACCGCAGAATAAGGAAGTTAATGATCAGCTCACTACAGTGCCACAGCTCAGACAGTATCACATTTTGACTCACATCCTTCTGCAATTATCCTCTTCACAAAGTCTTTGGCGTCTCGTACATTCTGCCGAGTCGCCCGCACTGTTCGGCCTTTCTTCCAAGTGTGAACCTTGTCTGAGAAGGTGATGATGTTGAAGTGGTCGCCTTCTCTAAGGTCCCCGAGAATGGTGCTCATGGCCTGTTTGGTCTACTGACAGAAATGATTACAATTAATGACAGAGGTCTTTAGGGGTGGGGGGTGGGGTGGGGGGGGTGGGGTGGGGGGTGGGGTGGGGTGGGGGGGGGGGTACACAAGGTTTTGTAAAAGGGTGTTTGTCCACTTTACCTGTTTTATCTTGGTGCCTATCATTGAGCCGCTGACATCAATGACAAATATAACATCCTTAGGAACCACAGGAAGCCCCCTAGGTGCAAAGTAATGCACAAAGTAGCCATCATACACCTGAGAGAGAGCAAGAGTAGAGACGAGAAAGGGTGGTAAAAGGCAAACCAAAAGCACAATTCTGTATCTGTTTAAAACATGCACACTCATGTATTTCAAAAGCCAGAAATGAAAAACGCTGCTGACCTGGACATCACCTATGAGGTCTCTGAGGTTCACATCATACTGAATGATGAAGTCTGCATCAAGACCCTTGGAGGAGACACTGTTCTGCTGCTGCACAGTGGGACTGTAGCGAACTCGAGCACAGCCAGCACTCTGCTCAACATGAGTGGAGGGAGGGGGGTCTGCATCACCTGCAGTACAAGATGGTTAATACATGAGTCAAATCAATCAATGTAGTAGCAATTAAACAAATGGTTCTGAAACATTTCCATTAAAGGAATAGTTTGGGAAATAAGCTTATTTGCCTTATTGCCAAGAGGAGTTAGATGAGGAGATTGATACCTCTTTCGTGTCTGTATGTCATAGCCAGCAGCCAGTTAGCTTAACTTAGCTTTGAGTCTGAAACAGTGGGAAACAGCTAGCCTGGTAACTAAATCTGCCTTCCAGCACCTTAAAGCTCAATAATTAGCTACCCAGGCAAAATCCAAAGTGTAAAAACAACAAGGGCAGCTACATGCCAGACAATTTCTTGGACTGACTTCTGACTACTGACTTATTGGAGTCTTCATGGATTGTTGGCATCCTCAAAGTGACTGCAAGACTTTGTAGCTTTGGATAGACCCAGGCTGCCTATTTCCAGTCTTTATTGTCAGTTAAGCTAACTCACCCCTGGCTGTAGCTATGCATTTACCCAATAGACATGACAGCTGTATCTCATGTAAAACTCATCACATTGCCATTTAATCAGTCAAGAAGTGATTCCTGAGTCTTCCTGAGAGCTTCTACTCTTAATGCTCTGAACATCCAATGGTGGGTACCTGGTTGTACAGCTACACTTCACAATATTGTAACAGAATTCAAGGTTGATTTTCTATTTTGAAAGCTCTTTATTCTAATAAACCATCTCCACTTTATTTTGATTTGTATTGTTAGATTTTACCTTTTGCAGTGTTAGAGAGCAGTCGCGTTGTCTTGAGAGGAAGGACTTTGATGAAACTGAGGCCTGTCCGCTCTGTTATACCTACGTCCAATGTCAGGTTCTGGACGGCCTGGCCAGGCCTCAGACCCAAACTGAGCTCGTAGCGGCCGAGTCTCCGTGGTAACAGCTCTTCATAGGTCAGAGAGAAGGACATCCGAGCTCCTGATGGTACGCTCACTGCCACACGAAACTTCTCAATCTCCCTCTCTCTGGAACATTGGTGTGTAAAAGGGAAGACAAACATAGAGTATAACGTTTCAAATGAAACATAACTAAAATGAAACTAAAGGTTAGAAAAAAAAAAAAAGTTTTGCATGTGACTGACTTGGTTGCGACAAGTCCAGCTGTTTTTCCTTGCTTCTTAGCAGCGTCGTATATTTTCCTGGCAGCAGCTCTTTCCTTCACCTGGGCCACATACACCTTGCCATTAGAGGTGCTGATGGGATAGAGGAAAGAAATAGCTCTCTGTGTGACTCACAGTGGCCAGATTATATTTCAGTCAGAAACACGCCTGGCCTGCATTGAGTTGTTAAGCATGATGACTTTATTTTTGCTCCTTGTATTTCCACAGCTATCACAAAGCTGCTTCACAAACATGCATCATGCTTGTTTACAGACGGAGTTCATACCATGTGAAGGGGGACGAGGGGGTCATAAACAGGTTGAGTGGAAAAGAGTAATTTCCCTCTAAAAACAGCGTTAATGAAGTGAGATCTTGCATGCCAGCGATGCTCCGAGGGAGTGCCGCTCCGTGCTGCACCCACCAAAATCCCAACCAAAACCAATGCTCAAAATGGGACCCAGTTCACACAGTGCACGTCCCAGGCTTTGGTGACCACGGATGTCATTTGACAAGGTGCTAAATTAAGGTCAGGTCCTTTGAACAAATATATCCAAAGAGAAAAAACATCAAGGGCTAACTAAAATAAACCCGCAGACTTGAAGCCAGCTCTTGTTTGAGACAGAGCAGAATGGCATGAGAGAGCAGAGTGGAAAATGGAGGTGCTTGTATTTATATGTGTGGCTGGCTGAGGGGGTAAAGGAAGGCTGTACATCAGTGACCTACACACAGAACACAGAGCTCTTAGTTTCAAACACAGATATGCCAAAGAACTTGCCACAGCTTTTTTCCCCTCTGGGTATTTGGTGATGTGCAGACAGCCGTATGGGTGAAAATATGTATGTGTGAGTGTGTGTGTGAGATGTGACAGATTATGGTTGTAAAAAGCTTCAGGCTCACACATACTTTAAAAATCTAAGTCTGCATCCATATCCTTGCACGTACAGTAGATGTAGGCGTGTGTGTATGTAGCATATCTAAACTGGCACGGTGCCTTAGTAAACTGTGCGGGGGAGAAAAAGGGGGACTGGGCAAACTCCTGTTATTTTCTCTATTAAATTTCTGACTCGCATTTACAAAGCCTGGCATTCATCTGCCCTCAGGTTCCCCCTCCTCCTGACCTGCTTCCGCTCCCAAATCCAGCTCCAGGCTCGCTGTTTGGCCTGCAATGTTGACTTATTTGTTTTGTTTATATTTAGCATTTTTAAAGGAGAGAGGTTTCCAACCCTCTTAGTAATCAAATTATGCATCTTACTCTGGACCGGAATTCTAGTTCCTTACATAATTCCTCTGAAGTTTTATTTCTGGATTCTGACCATCAACAAGAATATTACTTTTCCTTATTTCAGCTTCTCAGCTTATAGCAGGGAAATATTATTTCTGCAGGAGAGATATAATACATCCCTGCCAACTTCAGTGCACAGTAGGTGTGGATACTTGAGCTGTCAAAAGTCATCAACTTCATCCAAACACAAGTGAGAGAGATGATTGGTTACATTTCCTGACTTTTACAGTGATGTTGGAGAGATAGGAAGTACAGAAAATGCAAGGAATATACACAAAGACACTGATAAATAAATGGAGAAAGTATGTGATGTGTAAATACTGTAGGTAACAGTCAGAAATGGTGAAAGACAATGTAGGACGGACTTACATGGTGAAGTTGGAGATGAAAGCAGAGGAGGGCAGGTCCACCTCAAAGGCAGCTTCCTTGATGACGGGGAGCTGGTTCCATACTGAACTCTGGACTGTTGTAACAGCATAGCGGGACACCACTGAGCACCTCACATGGTAGTCTGTCACCTTCAGCTGGTAACACAACAAATACATGATTAAATCACTTTAGGTTGGAGGAGAAAGCAGTTACGTTGAGGATTCATGGGAGATTCTTCATCCCATAGGCATCTGAATTAAACTTATTTGGATCCAGAAAAGTGTGGAGTCATCTCCACAGATTACAATTGTGGGGTCATGCCAAATATATATTCTGCTGTGACACCACCGGACAGGTTTGACTATAACTGATAGTCATGGATGTTTACTTAAACCCACATAGGAAAAATAAACCTCACACGTAACTGTTTTGCTTTTTCCCCCCATCTCAGTCTGTCCTGCGTCGCTCTGATGAGTCAGTGAAACAACACACAACAATTCCCTGCATGGTGTCTCCGCCCTCCTCTTGTTTACTCGGGTACTGCTGGTGCCTGCTGAGACCAATCTGGTCAGTGCTTGCCACATGACTGCGGGATGAGGCGACAGGCAGGAGGAAGAGAGCCACATCAGCCCTCCAGCATGCTGGTATTTAGGAAAGCTGTGGTTTGTGCTATACAGACTGAATTACTGTATGTTCTAAAGGAGCCGCTTCACAGTTGACACAGAAGCAAACCGAGGGGAAACCACAGTGGAGCTACTGATGATTCCCTGAGAGGTGATGGTGGCTCCTTCCCTGTTTGTGAAGTTTGTTTTGTAGTTCACTGTGTATAACGGAGGGCAAGACCAGGACCAAAGTACACAGCTTTAGTTGTGTTATTTTTGTATGTGTAGCTATACTCATTCCATATTTATATGATGACTAACCCATTCACAGATTTGATAAGAAGAGTAATGCTTTAGATTATAGCCGGCAAGAAAATGTGTAAATATGGAGTACCAAGGAAATAATAGTGATACCAACAGGTAGAAGTGAAGAAGCACAGGAGGCAAGGGGGTAATAATGTACTATTAGGGGGACCTAATTACCTAATTTTTCAATTAGCTGTACATGTCACATAATTATTGAATTATTAAGGTAAAAAGAGGGACCAGCACACATCCTATCTTTCCTTTGACTACAGCTACTTTAAGAGAAGGAGTTAGACTACATGTGGCATTTAATCTTAGTTTAAAGGAACTATATGTAAGTTTTCTCTGCTGCTGAATGTGGTTTCTTGCTGGGAGCCGGTGGTGGTGATTGTCACCTGAGAAGAGCTTCGGCTATCATTGTCTTTATAATACGAGAGGGTATAATACGCCGTCTGAGCAGCTCTACGTCTTCAGGGCAGATTGAAGGTTACAGTGAGTCGCTATTGGGAAGTGACGAGACAAGACAGGCCAGGGCTAGCTGGTTAGCAAGCTAACATCAGAAGAAGAAAACCTGATGGAGACAAGAGTTAACATGGTGTTGCTTTCCACCTCTGGACACAGCTCTTAGTGAGTAAAGGAATGAAGTTTGATAAGGAACTAGACTGGTAAGTAAACAGCTGTTATTGCTAACGCTAGCTATGTAGCTATGGCAAAACTTACAAATAGCTACTTCATGCCTATAATAAACTACACTATAATTACAGTGAAAAGTGGGTGAACAATGGAACACTTTATTTTAGAGCCCAGTATTTAATCAGCGTTTTAAAATCATAAACATAACTTATAAAAATATAATTTATTTTATAATTATAGCCATAGAGGAACATTCTTCTTCCCAGGCCAAGCCTGTTTTGTTCCACAGCAACAATAATATAAAAAAATAATTTAAAACATTAAAATGATATTCATAATTGTAAGAAACAGAATCAAGAAAAAAAAAATAATACATTGCAATTTCCAAAGTAATTTCTGTAAATATCTTACAGATTTTTTAATCGATGTGATGTAAATCATTTCATTTCAATATCAAAACTATTATCCCATTGTTCTTGTATTGTTAGTAATAACACTACTGTACCCTGTAATTATTAAATAGGTACTCAGTGATTCAAAAAATTTTAAGGGTGTAATTTATTTCTATTTTGAACACTAAGTTGTTACCCACTTATTCCCTATAACCTTTCATCTTATTGTTGCGTATATACATGTATATATATATATATAATTATTTTACTGATATCCTTTAAACACCAAATAAATAAACAGTAATTTTGGGGCTGTAATTTAAAGCCTTACCCTCACAATCTGATGAATATTTAGCATTTTATGTAAAGCACTAATATACAAACTGCACAAACTTACCACTGGTTTCGTTGGTTTGCTTAGACGTTTTATTCTCTGGAAAAGAAACAAGAAAACAAGTCAATCAAAATGTAAAATGTTTAATAAGAGAGGCCAATGTCACACTGTAATGATAAGGTGCTTAAAAATACCACAATTTGGTCAAAATGCCTCCTTTTTGAAGTAATCCCCACAATCTGACTATGTGAGGGTTGGGTCAAGATTTTGTGTCAAAGTAGTCTGAATCAAAGCCATTCATGAATGGAGGGGAAGTGGAACTGGAAATAAATGCTTTCACTGTACACAGGGCCAGTGAAGGTGCACGGTTTGGTCTCAAATGTTAATTTTGCACACAAGTCACTGCTGTGTCAATACATTACCACATATCCTAGTCATTGCTGGGAATTTAACATAAACAAATAACTTTAAGAGTGGAAACCCTTTATATGGGACATACAAATCATATCATTTACATTAAAAACAGGAGTATGTGGAAAGTTCTGCCTGTGTGAGCCATTTGCACTGGTTTGTATTAGAGCTGCAGAAGCTCACTTTAGGAAACAGGAACTTGTTGGTCATGTTCTTTAACAACATTTTGCAGACTAATAGCTCTACTTGTGACTGAGAAATGGCTGAAGAACAGCTATTCTTCTTTGATTATTTATATATAAAATAAAGCTCTATACTATTGGCAAGAACTGTATCAGAGCTGGAGGGGGGCTCTGGCTCCCTCCCATGAGAAAACACAGCTTTGAATCAATTCACTTCCTCACACAACCTCTCTGTTAAATGACACTGTTTATTGAAAAAAAAAAATGTTAAAAGTTTTTTTCTTTTTAAATAATAATAATTCATCCGACCCACATATCATCTAGGGGTCATTTAAATGTGCATTTAAAGAACATGACATCTAGATGGGGTCATGGAGACATAAAACAAATATTTGATGGAGAGGAGTTTACTGGACGCGATAAATTAATTGAATAAAAGTAGAAAACAAACAATTGAAACTGGAGAATTAATAACTTGAGCATGTAAATGATTTTATCAATAAAAAAGGAGCAAATGCACTGGTTATTTCTTAAGACTAAATCGAGAATAACATTAAGCACCACTCTGTTCTCTTACCTAAAGGGGTGTGTTTGAGTTTTGACTCACAAAATAAGAAGAAATCCTCACCTGTAAAAGAACATTTGCTCCAAGGCGAGCTTCATAATCCCCTGACAATCCCTCTTGCACATAGAAAGTGAAGAAAACTAGAAAGCAGTGAATTCTTAAGTTCATCATGTCCATAGTGATTCAGATATAAGGCTCCAAGATGAAGTTGAATTGCCCAGTGGTCTCAGGTTTATCAGCGGGTCTGTAGCAGCTCGTTTACAGCAGGACGCTGTGCACACACCTCACATTTTACACGTTATGTTTTTTCCAAGGGGCAGTCTTTCCCCTCCCTCACCTCGGGTTAGTTTAAACTGCTCCACTGCGGCAATAATAACAAAAAATATGTCGTGATAAGAAGTAAACATCCGCCGCCAAAGATGACAAAAAAAAGTTCAGTGAGAAAGTTGCGTCAGTCCCGCTGAGTGGAAGAAAGCAGCTCCCAGCTTGTGTTCATGCATACTGGAAATTTCGCGGACTGCTGCCACCGAGGTCCACGAGAAATGAGGGATTATTAACCCCTGCTCGACTATTTGAGGAAAAGTACCCCCGCTACCAAAACACCTCCTCCTTCTCTGAACTCTGTAGGAGTGCTCTGAGAAATTCTCCAGTCTGAGTTATATTCCTCAAATTGTTCCCAAGTGCGAGTCTCCATTGAGTATACTCCTTCACAAAGGCCCATTATTGACTGAGAGGAACAGTACGTTGGTCTGTTGCGGAATCATTTGTTAAATTTATCTTAGCTTCACTGTGGGAGAGTGAGGAAACAACTGAGCTGCCAAACCAACACAAACAGGACTTGTAATGTGAGACTCTATTTTCTGAGCAATAACAGAAAACAGTGACTCCTTCTTTACACAGTTTATTTACATTTTTTTATTCACACCTCCTGAATTTCGGCGTCTTTTCTACATTACAAACAATACAGTCCAAATCTTCAACAAAACGGTTTTGTTTGTCTGGGTGCTGTCCATGGTGCTGATTCCCACCCAAATAATTAGATTGTCAACAACAAATGATGTTATCTGTATAACAGTTATATGTGCATTAAGTCCAAAGTTATAATGTCAAACTCCCTACATCTTTTTACGTGTTTTTCTCTCAGTCTCAGTACACAGTGCACTACTTCTCCCAACCTCATTTGTAAACAATGTGACACTTTGAAAATACTGAGAAAAGCAAATTCTAGTCAGATAAGACAGAAACATTTCACATACATGTTGAAAACAGAATCTCCAGTACCAGTTATAGGCTATGATGTCCCTTCCAGTCACTGCAGGGTTGAATCCCATTTCTATCATCCCGTCTTCCTTCTGCTTTGAGGTACCCCTGATTTCTGCTGTCACACAATCAACCTCTAACTGGACTGTATCTCTGTTTTTTTAGTGAAGCGAATCAGTCCTTTTCTCACAAAACATAATTTATATGTGGTCAGGAACAGTCTGCAGAGCTTCGTCCGGGTTTCTGTTGATGTCGACATTCTGCAATGACAGTAACACAAACACTGAAAGGCCATTTAAGGCAAGACTATGTAACTTTTGCTCAACAGGGAGCACTGGGGCCATAAGTAGCAGTTACAGGATAATATGGCATTACTCCTTTAGCGACATGCTAAAATGAAGCATATGAGTAGCAAGTGCCAAAAAGTCAGCAAACCTAATCACTGATGACACTTACACAGCATCAACTTTTAAGTTAGCTTTAGCTGAACTTTAGCTAATATATTTGCCATTGTAAGCATGGTGTTCACACTTTCGTACTATTGTTTGTACAGATTATTGTGGTGACTTGGAAATTGCTCCAAAGGATGAACCAGACTGTTTTTTTCCTCACATCAATTTGATTTATATCAATTAGCCTATCAGAAGGTTCTGAAGCTGTGACATTATTTGCTGAAATTTTCCAAGCTGTTTAAAGGCACTGTCAACTCAGTGTATGTAAACTTCTGACCCACTGGAATCATAATATGGTGAATTAAAAGCAAAACAATCAGCCTTGAAACAAGTGTTGGAAAAATTACTTATGTCATGCACAAAATAGATGCCCTTACTGACTTGCCAAAACCATAGTTTGCTAACATGAAATCTGAGGAGTGGTTAAAAAATGAGTTTTAATTACTTCAACTTAAGTGTATGTAAACTTCTTTCTTCAACTGTACATATTCATTTCATCAATACATACAAATTACGAAACATTACTGCCTGCCATCACGCATATGAAATGTACCGCAGACCAATAGTTGGCAAATCTAAGTATCTATTATGACAAATGTGAGCTTGTGGAAACTTACCGCTGGCCTCTCTCTGTGAGTGTTGACTGCTTCAATATTGAGGAAAAATGACTCAATCTTACACCCTACAATTGGAGGAAAAATCCAGGCTGTCAGGGAAAGATTTACAGTGATTGGAGAAGTCATACACTCAAGAACCCACAACCTACCGTAGGCTATTGGAGTGAGTTTTAGCACTGTGTGAAGGGGGCATCTTAGATAAGGCAATGCATCTTCAGAGGGAGGAAAATAAGATGGTTAACAACGTCACACACTGTGTCGAGGTATTATAAGTAGAAAAGAAGCCAGTCTATGCAGAGGTTGAGTCAGATTCTGTGTACCTGCAGGTTTGTCTAAGAAGTAGGCAAGCAGGCAGCGCATTATAGCTTGATGGCAGACGACCAGAACATTTTCCTGTCGTTCCAGCTCCATGATGACTGGCTCTAGACGATGGACGAGGTCCTCATAGGACTGGAAAAGAAGAGTTCATTATTTATACAAGAATACCTATTCTATCTTACCTTCTCAGCCCATTTGGTAAGGGCAAACGCTATCAACTGTCCTTACCTGACTTTGTGTCTCGCAGGATGACAAAGGTCCTTAAAGGAACTATGCTTATTTGTGAATTTGTGATCTTTAAAGTTGCTGACACACCTAACCTGTTTGGTTTGGTTTGATTAAACTGTGGTGCAGGATAAACAACCTGACTGAGACTTGCCTAAGCAATTTGTAGGCAATAAGTAATCACTATTTCACACGGTAAACCATGTGGTGGGTATACACATCAGAATGCAGGGATTTCCCTGATCGATCAGAAAGTGAAGAGGAGTTCACTTCCTCATTAAAAAGTGAGTGAAACATAGTGACCTCACACTGTTCCTTGTTAAAGAAAAAAAATAGTGTCACAGTATATTCAGAGTACTGCTTACCTCACCCTTGGGGTAACGATAACGATACTTGTCCTGGTCTCTCAGTGCAAACTCCTCTGGGAAATTCTCCTGAATCTCCTCATAGGATAGCTCCTCACATACACCCTTAGTGAGTAAAAGCCACATTGCATCATCACATCATTTAGAGTGTAAATACACAATCCGTAATACACAACCTGGAATACATTCAACCCTGAATGCACTATATGAAATCATAAAACTAGCCTTTATGCTGTTTTGTCTGAGGGACTGAATTATGTTTTAAGAAACTCACAGCATCTATCTCATTGAGAGCCTTCCACTGTTCATACTGGACTCCCAGAGCCTCTGCCGTCTGGATGGTCCTCTTCATGTGGCTGGTCCACACCTTCAGGTCTTTAATATTCTGACCCTTGATGAAGGCTGCCAAGGCATTAGCATACTGGAGAGAATGAGGGTGAATTTTAAAATTTAGTCACATAGGTACTTGTTCATCTTTTATTTCTTATGTGATTTTTGTGCTTACAATTTGCATAGCAGCTTTGAACCCATTGAACTCTAGCTCTTATCTTCGTTCAGCTTGCTCACCTTCTGTCCTCTAGGGGAGAGGCCTGAATCTCCACCAATGCGACCTAAAAGGTTGAGTTCACTCTCTCCGTGGCGGCTCAGATAGATTGATCTTGGTGTGACGTGGATGTTCATGAGGTAGTATACTATCCTGCTCTGAATGTGGTCCTGGACCCGGTTGACCAGGTATCTACTGCCCACGTCAAAGATCTTGATGTAGGAGAGCTTCCTGTCCAAAGTTACAGTATTTAGGAAAACTGACTTTAAAAATGAATTTGTCAGAAATGAAGGTGGTAAATGCTATTTTGTATCACCCACTGCCCCCTTTAATATCAAATGATGGAAAAACATTGTAGGTCACTACCTGTCTCTTTCATCATCTATAGGCATGTAACTGGCCCTGTAACACTCGATGCGCTGGACAAAGTCATCCATGGCTTCATTGATGTCATGATCCACATAATCTGGACTCCCAAACTTGACTTGCTGGGAAGGAAAGTTATGGAATTTATCTGAGGACATCACATCCCACCCTTTCTAAAGATTTACATTAAAAAAGCACATCCCTGACAGATGATATGAAGGTGCATCTCACCTTGATATTCTCTGCAACGATCTCTGGGTCATCACAGATTGATTCCACAAAGAACACCTGCATTAGAAATAGTTCAAAAATGTATTAAATGACTGTGAAATATATTATTTCTTTTAACCATGTGTTTGTTTAATGTCATCCATTAAAGCAGTATCTGACGATTTGGTTATGTCACGATTAGCAAAGGAAGACCCAAATGCAGACGCACAGAAAAGGCAGGAGACGCAGTGAAGGTCCTTTAATAAGTGAATAAAAACTGGCTCACGGGCAGACGGATGGATAAACAGGAGTTCAGCCACTAAACACAGGTGATCTACACAAAACACAGGGTAATACTCAGGAACAGGGACAAAATTAGAAAACCCAAACGCAGGCAGCCAATCCACTGGGAAAAACGAGGGAACAAAGATGAACTGACAAAGAGAGAAGGGAATTCAGAGACTTAAACACTCTTGTGAGGGGAAGACACTAGAACACAGGTGAAACTAATTAGGGCGGGGCAAGCAATCACATGGGCGGAAAAAAATAACCCAAGACACGAAGGCACAACCCAGGAAGACAGGCACAGCAAGAATAGTAAATTCAAAATAATACAGTAAATAGTAAATACAAGTCAAAGATAAAGAGACACTCAGAGGGCAGATCATGACAGTCTCATATCTTTGTGTGTCTGCCAGCCGCAGTTAGCTTAGCTTTGCATAAAGACTGAAAACTTCTAACCCCCCTCTGTCTTGATGTCACTTTGAGGTTTCAAAACAACAAGAACCAGATCGCTTGCCTCCAAATAGGACATGGTCTGCCGCATGACCCCCCACCCGCGCCCCCATAAAAGCATAAACTGTTGTTTTTACACTTTGGTTTTTGTATAGATTAAACGATGTTAGCTAGTGAGGTTTAGAGGTGGATTTTCTAAACTTTGGACAGAGCCAGTTAAGCCGATTCAAATTGCTTCCAGTGTGTTTGCTAAGCTAAGCTACTGACTGCTGGCTGTAGCTTCATATGGACAGTCATTGGAGCAGTATCAATCTTCTCATCTATCTCTTGATAAGAAAGTGAACAAGGGTATTTCCCAGAGGTATTCCTTTACACATTGTGCCATTTCCACACCTGTACTTACCTTGTAGCCTTTCTCCTTTGCAAAAGCCATAATAACTGCCCTCCTCTCCCTGGTGGTGTTGGTAGCATCAAATACCTGGATAGTTAATGGACACAGGTGTTATTGATAACACCAATAAAGTACATTCACACTATTCATAATGATTATTAGCGATCAAACATCTGAATTCAAAGACAACATATTATGTTGTTACACATTTGAATGTGTAAAGTACAGTTCATGATAAAAGTTTGTAGTTTGAAAAAGTCATATTTTATGTGCTACATTTTACCTAACAATTAACAATAAAAAACAACAGATTACAGAACAAAGTTCTTCTAAACCATAATTCATATTTTTTTCTTCACTTTCTAACTATTGTTCCCAACTTCTGAGACATTTATTTGACAGTCTGCGGAGAAAGACAGGAAAGGAGCAGCCTCAGTGATATGCATTTAAGCAGGTAAGCTACTGATGCACCTCCTCATGTTTATTTCCTAATATAAGTTCCTTTTACATCTTTAACAACACAAAGTTGCGCTTACGTGGCAATATACACTCTATTCCTCAGAAATAGAGTTGGAAAAATGCTCCTATCTAAATCACCCCTGAAGAGGTATTCCAATGATTTAGTATAGTTAGGGGGAAAAAGATTATCAAAATCTGCGCCTGGGAGGCTGAGATATTCTGCCTTTAAGTCCCCAGATTGGGTCAAACCCTGGACCCTACAATTCCCATAATGCAACTCTATAGTGTCTTTCATCAGATCTGCCTGATAAATGCCCACGTCTTTAAAACTCCCCACACCAATTTGTAACACAGGCTTTCCATTAGAAATTTGTAGCCTCCAAGCCCAAACTCAGATAACTGACGTCAACATCATGTTTTTTTCAGACTTAAAATTACACCCTGAGAGTTGCAGATGATTTTATACTAGTTTTTTTAAAAGCCCAACTGTCTTTGTGTAAAATCAGTGGAGTGTCTCTTTCGTCTCAGTCAGACCTGACTGATCAAAGGAATAAATACAACACACACAGACACACACAAAATGAATCAGTGTGTTTCTATTGTGAATAGAGGGACAGTTTCAGTTGTCCTCTTACTCACGGCTACTTGTCCCTGCTCCTTTGTGAAGTAGGTAGTGACGTCTTTGAGAGCGGCTGATGCACAGGCCCTGAAAAAGAAGTTACACATCATGAATGTGACATGAAAAAGACTCCACAATGACTCATCTGTGTTGTGCTTACTTGCGGATTCTCATGGCCTCCTCATTATCAGGTTTGAAGAACTCAAAGTTCTTATAGATCTTGACAGCCTCCCTTCGGTACTGGCCCACATTAAACACTGGTGGGATTGAAAAACAGAGGTGAAAATAGACACACATTCAATTAACTGTCCCTTTGATTCACTTATAATATCAGGATTCACTTTGAAAACTTGCTTTTTGTAGGAACTCCAATCCAGTTCAGGTAGCGAGTGAGCTTCTTGGAGATGTACGTCTTCCCTCTGGCTGGCAGACCCACCATCACAATCATCGTAGGAGAGTTACAGAACTGAGGCACCGAGGCTGAGATGAAAACAGACACAGTGACATAAAGCAAAAGTTACTGAATAATGTAGATGTTGGAATTTAGGTTGTTAGTGTTAGTGCACATGTGATACGTCTTCTTCAGCCTCATGTACAAATGATCAAACACAACCCAGAGTCACAGACAACTCCCTGAGGCTCCGCGCTGCAGGACATGTGTTGTGTGAGGTGTGTGTCGCTGCCAAGGTAATCTTCATTAAGAGAGAGAATAAGAGCGCCGAGGTGCAGCTCAAATGTCTGTGCAGCGAGTCACTCGGCTTATCTGCCTGCCTCTGTTGTTTGGCAGCGTGCCTTGACACAGAAAACTGTCCAACCGACCACAAACAAAATCAAACAAACTGACACAGAAAGAAGTTGCAGCAATTACAAATTACAAATACACCCTTAAAGAAGTGAGAAGAAAACCAGATGCTCCTCCTCCTCAAGTAGTCACATAGAAACAACCAGAGCAGCACAGTGCACTGAGCAATATGTCTGACAATCAGGAGAACAGAACACTCCTAAATTCTAGGTCTGTCAAAATGTCAGTCTTCCCTGCAGATTGTTATAAATCAGCTCAGCTATGCACAACAAAGTTCCCATTACAACACTATCAGTCTTACTGGATAAATCAAATGCTTTGGTTCAGACTGTGTCACTGCTCACAAGTGAGAAAACCCTGAATCTTGATCTGACTAGAGAGATGAGGAGCCACTGAACGTCCCCTGCTCATAAATTTCCACACACACATCAGAATCTCAAACCCATTGTGTGTTTCTTACCCAGTCATGACCCAGTTGTTGCATGCTTGTCTGTGTCTAGGCTCAAAAAAATGCCAGTAATTTATAAAGCAGACTGCAGGATTGCTTGCCAGTAAGCTGGACAAAAAGTACCCGGATGACCCGTATGTGTCTATGCAGGGACAGGGGGAGTGTTGGCCTCCAGGCTGTTCGATTATGAATGGAATATGCTGCGTCAGCAAAATGCTCAAAGGACCACGTCAGACACTGAACAGAGGGCCAACTCAGACCTGATTTGGTCCAGCTTGGCTGTCGTCCCATGGCTGACTCCTCTGTGTCTCTCAGACCACTGCCTGCCTACCTGCATCCCCTGAGCTCAGTCCTGAAGCAACAGGAGGAGATGGGTCCGAGCTTTAGGCCCAGCACGGTCACTACAAAACAAAAACACACCTACAACTGCTTCAAACACTACCTTCATCTGCTGAAACCACAACTGAGTTAAAGTACAGCAGCAGCAAGACAGAACAGGTGATGTATTTTAATCTGAGACAGGGTGTCACTGCACTTACATCCCCTCCTGCGGTTCAAGTTGCAGCCCATCCATGGCACCCAGATCTTGAGCAGAGGAGTCTGTGTGAGTTTTTTCTGCTCTGCTGACGCATTAATGGTGAGAGCCATGAGGCCTGTGTGGCAGGCGGAGGAGTGGATGACAAAGGCGCACAGCTCTGCGATCTGTGTGCATGTGTGTGCTTCACTGAACACTACCTACTGCAGGTCAGCTGACTGTTGCTAAGGAGAAGTACTTGGTAGGCAGGAGGGGGAGGACCTGAGGCCACGCTGCTTGCCTGCCTCTCCGTCTGTTTCATGATGTAAAAAGGCCTAAGGGCAGCTGCTGCCAAAATCTCTGTGGTGATGTCAGACAGCGGGGAAGCATCCAAATCCACCGCACCGTACATCTGCTGTGGTGACACAGCTGGTTTTTCAGTCAGAGGAAGAGCAACAGAGTCATGTGAGACAAGTGTAACAGCTGTGGGAACCTCTCATGTATTCAGATGAGCACAGTCGGTTCTGCACAAGCTGTTTACCAATTAGGTGTTGAACGGTTATTCTTATTTCTTACCACTAGAGGGCAGCTTAAACCATAACTTTAGACTTACTCCAGGGAATTTACAGTTACTGTTCACTGCACCTTTCATTTACCCAGACTATAAAAACACCATGTTGAAATGTGTGCAGTTAGAATCTGGGTTTCCATAAATTCAGCTAACCAACTAACTCACCTCTCTGGTATTGCTGCCATTCATTAAAGCAGGTCATTAGCAGAGAGGCTTCCTGTGCGTTCAGCACCAGTGCAAATTTTTTCTCTGTGGATGGAAAAGTTAGCACTGGAAAGTGAATGTAAGTCAGATAGTCAGATAAGTCAGTCAGATACAACTATTGGGGCTGTGATGATGTATTTTACTGTTGGATTGGGTTGGTTGTACCGTGTTTCATATACCTTTGTCTGTGTGTTGTTTGCTCAAAGACAATAACATTAGGTTGTATCAATTGTCTCATAAAACTCTAATGCCAGAAAGAGAATACACAATTATATTTATATAATTATCACTTGTTAGCAACAAAATACTAAAAAACAGCTGTAACTTTTTGTGTATAAGAAATAAAAAGTGGGGGGAAAAAAATCTATTTTATTCAAACTTGACCCTAAAAAAAGGGTCACTCATGACACAATGCTGCAGGGCAGTGTGTATCAAATGATCAAGTCCCAGTATTCAAACATTTATGTCACTGATTCCATTAACTTTAAACAGGCAACATCATTTACCAAGCTTTGGCCTATGTTCAAAGTCTAACAAGCAGTTTTTCCTGGGCAGTGATTACCAGGGCACTGATAATCTATAATGGGCAGTTCTTCCTGTTTTGGGATAAGCTCAACCATTAAGAGAATGAACAAGCTATTCTGTTGAACATTTGCCATGGCAGGAGTTCAGCACGTTCTCCCAAAACAACACACATGCAGGATTACAGTTCGTATGGGAGGTGTTGTTCCTTTTACTACTTCCCCCTTTAATTCCCCTCTACTACACACACACCCCCCCCCCACACACACACACACACACACACACACACACACACACCAGTGTTAGAGGAGTTTTTCAAGAAGTATGAAATAGTGCATCAGCATATTCTACTACAAAGCTAGCATGTCTCTCAGACGAGACATCTCTATCTATAAGTGTGTCCTGCAAAGCATTTACCTGTAAACAAAGTAACTGAGCAGTATAGTAGTAGTCCATCAAATAACAAGCAAACCAAGCTACTCTCTTAACTTCCCATTTCTTATTTCTTACTTATATCAGCTACATGTCACAATTGCTGCTCTAGACATGGAACTTACTTCACTGCTGCATATAGCATGACATTATATGACAACACATGCAGTCTATTTTTACTCTTTCAGTCAGTGTGATTGCATGTCTCATGTGTTAGTAGAAACCTTGCTGCAAGGAGTCTTCAATGTGTTGTTTGGCATGCCCTCTGCAAAAACAGTTCATCAGTGATCTCACCTGCGCTGTCACACCTGCGAAGCCTCATATGTTCCAGCTGGGGAACCTCCATTCTGTGCTACACTCCGATGAAGCAACTAGCAGAGCAGTTCAATACCATCGGCACAATCGACACACAGGATTATGTGGCCAGTGGCAACAGAACTGATGCTCTTTTTTAAGAAACTAAACCCCTATGCCAAAGTATTCTCAACCCACCCCTGCCCCCATCCCCTCTGAGCCTTCTCTTTTCCTCTTACACATGGACATATGATAGCAGCAAACTGGGCTTGGCCTTTAATGTTTGCCAGGGCCAGAGTTCACAACGTACACACAAGGCAAGAGCGTAGCAGCACCCGAAGAGCATATCATAACAAGTGCAAAGGTCGCTAAGAAGGAGATTGTTGTTGCGCAGGGAGACATGGCAACATTTATGCTTCGACACCGCAGTCACTCATCATGCATGTCATGGAGGTCATTGCTGTGTCAGCTGTAGTGGTATGACTGAAACAGTTAATACACTCTTCAACATGCAATCATTCCCAACTTTATATGTTCTTTTTAGTCAAGTACGCAACAGTCATGGTGGTTTGAATATACTGGAAGATACACTGTGTATCTCAAATCCAAAGTACCTACTAATATACTGGTGACGTATAAATTTATTAAATAAGCAGGTTTTGACAATGTAGTGTGGTCACAATGGACAAGTGACAAAAAGAATTGTATTCAAAACAGAACTTTATAACTGATAAAAAAGTATAGTAAATATGGTCTCAGTGTGCTGTAGGCACTAGATGTGTCCCAAAATGAATACCACATATGAATTCTATACAGTATACTGCTTTAGCAGTGAGTATACAAGAAATGATCCTGCTCTACCATTAGCTACAACCAGGAAATGATACAATGAGTGTCCCTGTCAATCAAACCTACAGATAGACATCAAAATGTTTTTCTTAAGATTTTACATTTATGTTTGTTTTCAAGATACACTGTAGTGCTGGAGTTAGCTCACCACCAGCCACAAATGATTGTCTTATTCTTTTTCTTTCTTTTTTTTTCCTGCTGTGACCTCTTGTGTTTCCTTTATGGGAGATTAGTGACATAAACAGCACACTGAAAACTAGACCAAATTTATAATGCATTCTGCCTCATATGTGTGTACTTGCTTTTCTCATTTCTCCAATGTGAACACACTTGGAAGTATCACTATTTAGAATGATTAGTATTAGTATTAATATCTGTTACATAAGACAATCAACAGTGTCTTTGAGTAAGCTCTTCATGACAGGCATGACATTTCGGCTGCCTGCAGCTGTGGTGTGCGCTGTAGTGTTGCATCAGTTTGGCAGAGCTGTAGACTTGACACTCAAGATTTGAACTTAAGCCTGATGTAAAAGAGGACTCCACTCATTTAATGTTGCACTTGTGTAACACTGTCAAACTCACAATAGACAGAAAATAGATGCAGACGAAGCAGAAATATTGTCTGTTTTGTCCCACACACTCTTTTACACTAGTCCAACTATCCAGACATTTGTGTAATGTGATTAAGTGTCGAAACCTTCTGGGTTAAAAAGATACAAATCTTATCTGTGGTCTCTTCCTCTATTTGAGACGTTCATGCTGCCCTGAAACTACCGAGACTGAAGATAATTTTGATGGGCCATTGTATCCTGCAGACAAAACAGTGTATTGAGAAAAAATAAGCTATAACAGTGCCAACTGTTCATCAATGGCTGAAGTGAAGTTGCCTGGTCGTGCAAGTTAATACACTCTGACTCAAAGGTCACCCACAGACTTATGGGGACATTACATTGATCACTTAAAAACTAAGAGACTAGACCAGCTCTGTACTCTTCGATAGAGAAACTGTTTTTAACACCAGTATACAACAGCAGCAGCAGAATAACAATATAACTATATATGTTTTTTTTTCTTTTTTCCACATTGTCATTTGAGTATATGGTATATATGTAAGAGGGAGTGATGTAGGAAGAAAGATAGCTTTATTTTTTTTTGACTGTTTTCTGTTTTTTTTCAGACTAAATAAAGTTAAATTAAAATTTAAAAACATCACTTTGGTGTGCAGTGATAGAAAACAGGAACTGTAGCTGGGCTCGAATGTAAAAAACCTGTTGGTACTATGAACACTATTTTAATATTTCTGTGAAATTCCGCAGGTGATTAAATGATATGCAGTGGTAACAGAAAAACGTCTGGGTTTTTTTTTTTAAAGAGGACCTCCGCATGGTTACATTTGTTTGAATAAACAGGCAGCAGAATAGATAAGTTCACTCAGGCACTTGTGGAGTTATATTATGGGCGTAGGTTTGCATCCAATATTTTGGGAGGACTGAATTGTCGCTACCAATATTTGAGTGGCGACATAAACACAGTATCGTTTTTTAAAAACGACAAAATTAATTAAACCGAAAATGTGCTACTTTGGCTCTAGTGCAGCTGTCCGTCTCTGATCTGTAGTTTCCACTGTTGTCTGGAGCAATGTCCCGCCCAGAGCACCATCTGATTGGTCCACGTCACGAGTAATAGCCTATCACGCTGAAGGCTGCTGTGTACACAGACGTTCACAGAAGAGCGCAGCTTCCTTATACTAGCAAAGGTAAGACAGCAGATATCACTGAAGCTGTAATAAACATCACAATCCGCTACACTGAAGTTACAACAGCACCACACTCTGATGAACAAGTTCATCTGTTGCCCGAGCAAGACAGATGGAGAGAGACAGAAGTCATCGCTGATTGCTAAGCTAAAGTAACTAGCATCTGAATAGCACGTAAACAACTGCTGAATTAGTGAAAGTCCTTAAAATGAGCGGAGAGCTCTGGGTGCTGGAGCAGACTAGTGTAAGTTGAAATCTACAGTAGGCAGTTAGACACTGATGAAAAAAAACAGCAACATTAACTGTGTCCAGATAAAGCAGCAATGAACTACCAGTAACAAAAACTTTAGAGACTGGAGATGAGACACTACACTGACTGCAGCACATCAGTAGGTGAACGGTCACCAACTACTATTACCGAAAAGACATTTTATTACAGTAGAAGTAAAATCACTGTGTAACAATGTTCTCAGATAAAAGTACAAAGTGAGTTAAAATATGTCTGAATAAATGTGTTAAATTTTAAAGGGGGAGGGGTAAAACGTGTTAATAATAGTATATGATAAAACTATTAAATCATCTTTAGGCTGCCAGGTGTTGCAGTTCCAGGTGAGAACAGCACCGAAATCAATCAATTCAGGCACTTTGTAGTGCACACAATTGATAATTACTAATATATACCTTTCATACTTTGTAAATTACTAACTTATATTTAACATAACCACAGTCCACCTATTCTGATGTTAAACTTGTAAGTTATTATAACATATGATCATTTCCTAAAGTTTTAGTCTTTGATCTGTTACTGCAGATCTTATATGATCTTATATGTTAATAAACCATTTGATTGACAGCATTAAAAAGTCATCATTTCTTTGGAGGGGTGGCAGTGTTGTTGCGTCCCTACCAATGTTGAGACCAAACCTGCGCCCTTGAGTTATACATTCACTTGCATTGTACCAGTGGCTCAGCAAGACTGTTTCATGATAACCTTTAACACTGGATTCTTCTTGGTTCAGACGAGCAGTCTGAGGTTGTGGAGGCATGAGGTGAGCACTGATTTTACAAACAAACTGCTGCATTGCTGTCCTTTTAGTTTGTAACTTTTTATGGACAATGTGTTTTTTTAATGTTCAGATTATTCAGAGGCATTTCATCACACCACAGTTTCATTGCATAAAACAGGACTGCAGAACAGCCTGTGTCATTCCTTTTCTTTGCATCTTTACTGCTGCTGATAATTTTGCACGACATGCTTTCATGTGGTTTTTTTAGTTTTTGATCTCAGACTGAATCTATGCTCTGAATCTTGAATCTTGTCTCTGGTTTTGCTATATCCTGTGTACCACTTTTTATGATGACCTGTGGTTGTGCTCTAAATTCAGATTTATGATTTGGTGATGATTTGCAACGCAAGCAAAACTTTCAGACCAGCTGAATCAAATATAATTCTGCACCGTGCAATGTTTTGTCATGCTTTGTTTGTCTGCTTTAAGTTTACTTAAATATTTAAATATTTTACATACTGTTAAGTGTTTACAACAAAACTACATGTTTAAATAATACTGAACTGATGTGTGATACTTTAATGTATAAAGTGCACACGGACTTTGACTTGGTTAATTGGTGCGGAGCGTTACTTAACAGTTCCAGGAAAAAAAAAAAAAAACTGACAGACTCTGGACAAAGAGCAAAATGTGGCAGATGCTCTGATTTAGCAAAGAGAGGGTTGGTTATACTGTGTGGCAGAAAACTGAACATAAACACACCACAAATAGATTCAAAGCCCAAAGTTGGAAAAATTTGGGAAAGAGGTGTTGAACCAGGATCAATTTGAGAATGCCATGAGGCACTGACTGGGCAAAACATATGTAAAACATATGTCAACTGTTAATTCTGAGCAAAAGACCATAACTACTGTCTGACATACAGTATGAAGACTAAAGGCAAAGCAAGACAGAACGGCACATTAAAGCCCCACTCATCAATACATTATATTTCCGGTATCTGGAAATAAAGCAGCTAGCTGGAAACCAGTGAAATTACTATTCAGAGGTTAATTCGTATGTGGCACTCAAGTGGCAACCTCCAGAGCTGAAAAATGTAGTTCTTTAAATGGTCTAGACTCCCATGTTAAAATGGCCACTAGAGCAGGAATAAACATGTTTACTGCGGCAGCAGCGGCAGCACAGGTTAAGAGCAGACAGGTAACGTTAGCACGTACTGTATGAAATTCATGTTGATCATGCTAGATATATTATATTAGTAATGTCAACATGTATGACAAGTATGCAGTGTACCATCAAAATATACTAGATACTATACAATATACTAGTATTATCACTATCCACCACCGGATTAAAATCCAGGGATTTGCCCCGGATGGCAAGATACTAAGATATAGCGATGCACAGTGAGCTGACAGGAAGATTTCCTTTTCTGGATACTGAACACCGTCCACCTATTATTTTAATGATTTGTGGAGTTTGTGAAATATAAACTTTTCATATTGAAAATATTTGCTCAGTAAGTTCTGTGTCTCTTCTACAGTGATGGGGTCATATCCAGCTCTGGCATTCATCATGCTGTTTTCAGCAAGCCTCTCCTCCAGTTGTGATGGTGGAAAAGTGCTGGTGTACCCTATAGATGGCAGCCACTGGCTGAACATGAAAATCCTGGTGGAGGCGCTTCACTCTCAGGGCCATCAAATCACAGTGATACGTTCCTCCACCAGCTGGTATGTTTCCGAAATCTCACCCCATTACACCTCAATCACCGTCACCCAGGAGCAGTCCCAAAACATAGAGAGCCAAGACTTCATGACCTCATTCTTGAAGAGATCAATAGAGATTCGTCGGAATAAAGGTTCACTATGGGCTTTTCTGGACTTCTATAGGAATGTTTTCAACTTGATAGGGGAGAACCAGCAAGTTGTGGCAAAACTGGTCATCAGCATCCTTGAGAATAAGACACTGGTCAATGAGCTGAGGGAAACTGGATATGATCTCTTTCTGACTGATCCTGCATTTCCAGGTGGAGTGCTGTTGGCACACTATCTCCAACTTCCCTTGGTTTTCAATGTGCGCTGGCTTTTCAATGGAGAGGCGCACTTTGCCATTGCTCCTTCTCCTTTGTCCTACGTCCCTGAATTGTTCTCTGATTACTCTGACAAGATGGACATTTTTCAAAGACTCAATAATATAATCTATCATAGCGTATTGTCTTACATGTACCACTATGTCTCAAATCCGCCTTACCAGGCTGTGTGTGATAAATATTTTGGACATGATGTCAGTGTCATGTCTCTCATACAGGGAGCAGATCTATGGCTAATGCGGGTGGACTTCACATTCGAGTTTCCTCGGCCCACCATGCCCAATGTTGTCTATATCGGAGGGTTCCAGGGTAAACCCTTAAGGCCTCTTCCAACAGATTTAGAAGAATTTGTACAGAGTTCTGGTGAACATGGGGTGGTCGTCATGACTCTGGGCACCCTGCTGAGCGACCTTGGCCCTGAGATATCAGAGATCATCGCCTCAGCATTTGCCAACCTCCCTCAGAAAGTCGTATGGAGACACATCGGAGAAAGACCTGTCACATTGGGAAACAACACTATGCTGGTTGAATGGCTGCCTCAAAATGATATACTAGGTCACCCTAAAACCAAGGTTTTTGTCACACATGGGGGTACTAACGGCATTTATGAAGCCATCTACCATGGTGTCCCAGTTCTGGGCATTCCTCTAATCTTTGACCAGTATGACAACATGGTGCGTTTGAATGCCCGGGGAGTAGCTGAGATTGTTGAAGTGACAACTTTGGATGTTGAGTCTCTGACAATTGCTCTGAAGAATATTCTAAACCCAGGAAAGCCCTACAAACAGAATATGCTCAAACTGTCACAGCTTCATCTGGACAAACCAATAAAACCCCTAGAAAGTGCCATTTTCTGGATAGAGTATGTCATGAGGCACAAGGGAGCAGCACATCTGCGCACCGAGTCATATAAGTTGCCATGGTATGCCTATCACTGTCTAGATGTGATGACAGTTTTAGTAGCATTTGGTCTGCTAATCATTGCATCAATTTGGGTTTCCTGTAGATGTTTCATTAGATGTTTCATATGGACCAAAAAGTCCACATTCAAATACAAGAGTGAATAGATAAAAGATGACAAATAAACAAATACTTTAACAGTGAGATAAAACAGCAGTAATTTACAATGGTAAAGAAATTACAAAATACCGACAGGGAACCACATAATGAGATGAATGAAAATAATAGTAAAATGTGGAAATGTAGATATTAAAATTCTTTCACACCTGTAACATGTCAAATTATTTTATTTTTGCAAAAGAAAAAGCAAAAAACGAATTTCACATATGTTGATTAAAATTCTTCTGAATTTACAATGTAATTTTTTTCTTTTAATCATTAATTTGTATGTTGCAATACTTACAAAAGTCACAAAAATAAAAACTAGTACTAGTCTATGGTTACTAAATATATTGTTTAAAACATTGAAAACACATTTTTATATACACAAAACATAAGAAATAAATCATTTCTTAAGATTAAATGATGGGAAAATAATATGGAAAAGGCGCACAATTTGATTATGAGGGACAGTTACAGATTTATTTCACAGAATAACCATGAAATATGTTTACTTGTGTTAAACTTCGTCTGCAGTTTGAGCCACAGAGACAGAGTCTAAGTTTGATAGAAACAAATGGTTGGACATCTGACGAGCTCGCTGGAGCAGCTGTCTGACCTGAGCAGGAATTTCTTCATTCATATGGAGGTAAACCAGAGGGTTGAGAGCACTGTTCAGACACACAAGGCCACGACTTATCTGATGAGCGATGTAAACTCTCGCAGACCATTTACGGCATATCATCTGTTTGTCCAGAACTCTCGACCAGAGGTTGAGGTTCTTAACTACGTGATAGGGGATGTAACAAACAGAAAAGAGGAGGATCAAAATGAACAACAACTTCAATCCTCTTTGTTTTTGTACCTTGTCAGTTCTCTTCATTGTCCATAAAACTAAAGCTATATGCCCATAGCACCCCAGCATGATGAGGAGTGGGATACAAAACCCAGTCAGTGTCCATCCAAGGCTGTATTTCAGGTAATCCTCAACATAGGCTCCAGTGGTAGTATGATAGCATTTTGCTCTGTTCCTTTGGGTTTTGGCATAGAACATGTCTGGAAGACTTTGAACACCCACCAACAGCCAAACCATGACTGAGATAGCCACAGACTGAGTGACAGTTATTCTTCCCATCACTCTCATTGGATGGACAATAGCCAGGTACCTGTACACACTTATACAAGTAAGGAATCCAATGCTGCCATATAAATTCAGGTTGAAGCAGAATCTTGTTATCTTGCAGAATGCATCTCCAAAGATCCATGTACTCCCCTTAAAGTAGTACACCACCAAGAATGGTAGTGTGAGTAGATACAGAATATCTGCAAGTCCGAGGTTGAGAACAAACACATTGATGATCTTTAGTTTCATCCAGTTCTGCAGCAAAGACTTCAGTCCCAATCCATTAGCCACCAGACCAATGATGAATACTAAGAGGTAAACGGACGATAGGAATCTGCCTTTAAACTCATAGTTGACACGAGGACAAGATGTGTTATTCATTGTCTTCTGGACAGCTGTTAGTACTTAGTCTTTCTCTAGGTGAGTGTGTTGGTGTTTTTGTATAAAAGCAACATGAGAAGTGAGAGTAAATTTTGTCGGTTTTGGTTCTTAAAAGAATTCCTATTCCGAATTCTCTTGAATTTGAATCACATGGAGATGAATCATGTGCAAACACACAACTCACTTTTAGGTAAGATGTGTATATTCAGCCACAATGCTGTGAATGAGCCAATGATTGTGAACTAATGCCAATCTGAAGCCAGTGGGAGCGTGACTTCAGACTTCAGTCTTCAGCCTAAACTTACACCATGCTTATTGAAAGTGTGTTATTTTTGTGAGGGATTTGAATTGTGATTTTGTAGGATTTCTCCTCAAGGCCATCAGCAATTGCATCTCCTTAGTGATTTGCAGATGATGCAGGCTCGTCAAAGCCAGTAACACTAACACAATGACAATCCTGTGTATAGTGTATTGAGGGGACAATTACATTTCTCTAACAAGTTCCTAACACATAAAACCCAGGAAGGTATAAACTGGAATTATCCTTTGATATATCTCAAAGGCAAATACTACAGTGTCATTTTCAGGTGTAATGGCCGAGTTTCTCACACATTGATGCGTGTAAGGGAAACAGTCTGTTTTATTGTTGGCCACAATACATTTTTCAGCTCATTCAGTGGGTTTTCCAGTGGCTGGATTTCACTTCTCAGGGTGTTTTCTCGCCCGACTCCATTTGTAAGCTTTAACTTAAACATCAAAATCGCCAAAACTGCACTTACAGGGATTTCATGTTTCCTAATGTTGATATTCCTTTAAAAGGTACATTGTGTTTACTATACCTATATCATCAGTGACACACGAATGCATCATTTTCCTTGTTCTGTAGCGTTAATATTATTCTGCATTTTATTCCATTGCTCACAGAACATGTAGCTATTCAACTACTTGAGAGTGACAGTTTATTCTTGACCTGGGAAATATTTTAATAAAAAATGTATTTGAGATTGGTTTGTCAAATGTTAATGATTACAGCACAGACTGTCAGAACTTCACCATCACATTACTCTTACAAGAATGGACAGCATTTCCTTCAAGTGAAGTAAATTATGACACACCAGGAAATAAAAACATACAGTCAAAGACGGTGCCATGAAATTGTTATGATTATCGCTGTGTCTACGTCTGTAGGAATTGCGGTACTGCATCTGCTTATAATGTACTGGTATCACTCAAAATGCAGGTGACACAGTAGACTCTCCAAATTGAGAGAGTCATATGGTATCATTTAGAATACATTCTGTATCATAAGCATAAATGAAGTACATCTTGCTTACTGTGTATTTGTGGGACACCATGTTCTTCCTGTCCTGAACCAATAGAGACAGAGTGTATGACACTAGGCTTCTCCGCCCTCTACCACATAATGTGAACATCATCTCCCCACACATATCAAGACTTGTTAAGACTTGTTTATTTGACTTTTTCTGTATATAATAACAAAGCATTACAACAAACACAAAGGTCAGAAATGAAATGAACTAATGTGTTAAGTAATATACAATAAAGAGCTAGATGTCAGACAGTCTAAAGAAGTGGCAGAGCAGCTGTTTGAGCTTTCATTCACTAAACATTGTTATATTTAACTTCATCTACAATTTGCATGGGCATTTAGCACAGATGTTTATAGGATTATTTTAACAGAATTACTAACATGTTTACTTGAATTAAACACTCCCCATTAATTAGCCACTAGACCAATGATGAATACCAAGATGAAGCTGTTAGTACAATTCCCTCTGTGAGTTTTCTGATGTTTTCTGTTAAAGCAAAGTGATTTTGAGAAGTGAGAGTAAAATTTGTGTCTTTTGGTCCTTCCTGTTCAGACTTCTCTTGAATTTTAATCACGTAGATCTGAATCATGTGTGAACACACAACTGACTGTTACACAACATGTGTTTCTTACTCTAAGTCTTCAACATATAACATAATGGACACTCTAAATTATGTTGGATGGTTAAGGAAATTCAGGTAACATCTCTTTAAAGAAGGATTCCTGATGAACATATAGACTGAAAGAGATAAACTGTGTTATGCTGTTTTGTGTGATGTGACAATCATTAGAGACGCATGTCATAGTGAGCCCTTCTGGTTGAATTTCAAAGAATGTTGATATTATGACCAGATTAAAGAATAATTACAACATGGGTCTTATTTACATAGTTTTGCAATTCATTGCTTTTTGTAACTTAAACATTTTATTCACCAAGTTAATTCATGACATCTGGGAATGTGGCAACATCACTAACAGTTCATTTTAATGGTGCAAGAAACATGAACTGTCACATGATCAATCAGCTTTAATTAAGCCACAAGGTTAGCCAAATTATTTTAAAGGAGAAACAGTTTAAAGGCTGGCTCCCTGGTTTATATTTGATCTATCATACTTACTGTAGTTGTGCGTGCACAGTTTTCCTGCATAGACATTTCACATGCACTCACTTGTGTTTTTATCTTTAAATAACATTGTTCCAATACTTGTGTTTCTTGCTTGGATGCACTTTATTGTGGTGATTTCTCATCCAATTCCCAGATCTCTGCAAGCGTGTTGTCAAATGAATGACTGCCAAAGCTCTGAAAATAAAACCCAGGAAGGTATAAACTGGAATTATCCTTTGATATATCTCAAAGGCAAATACTACAGTGTCATTTTCAGGTGTAATGGCCGAGTTTCTCACACGTTGATGCGTGTAAGGGAAACAGTCTGTTTTATTGTTGGCCACAATACATTTTTCAGCTCATTCAGTGGGTTTTCCAGTGGCTTTCACCACCCAGTGGTTGGATTTCACTTCTCAGGGTGTTTTCTCACCCGACTCCATTTGTAAGCTTTAACTTAAACATCAAAATCACCAAAACTGCACTTACAGGGATTTTATGTTTCCTAATGTTGATATTCCTTTAAAAAGGTACATATGTGCTTATTCTTGACCTGGGAAATATTTTAATAAAAAATGTATTTGAGATTGGTTTGTCAAATGTTATTGATTACAGCACAGATTGTCAATGATATCATTCAGAATACATTCTGTATCATAAGCATGAATGAAGTACATCTTGCTTACTGTGTATTTGTGGGACACCATGTTCTTCCTGTCCTGAACCAATAGAGACAGAGTGTATGACACTAGGCTTCTCCGCCCTCTACCACATAATGTGAACATCATCTCCCCACACATATCAAGACTTGTTAAGACTTGTTTATTTGACTTTTTCTGTATATAATAACAAAGCATTACAACAAACACAAAGGTCAGAAATGAAATGAACTAATGTTTTATGTAATATACAAGAAAGAGCTAGATGTTAGACAGTCTAAAGAAGTGGCAGAGCAGCTGTTTGAGCTTTCATTCACTAAACATTGTTATATTTAACTTCATCTACAATTTGCATGGGCATTTTGCACAGATGTTTATAGGATTCTTTTAACAGAATTAGTGACATGTTTACTCGCGTTAATCTTCGTCTGCAGTTTGAGCCACAGGAGAAGAGTCGGAGTTTGACAGAAACAAACGGTTGAACATTTGACGAGCTCGCTGGAGCAGCTGTCTGACCTGAGCAGGAATTTCTTCATTCACATGGAGGTAAACTAGAGGGTTGAGAGCACTGTTCAGACACACAAGTCCACGACTTATCTGATGAGCGATGTAAACTCTCGCATACCATTTACGGCATATCATCTGTTTATCCAGAACTCTCGACCAGAGGTTGAGGTTCTTAACTACGTGATAGGGGATGTAACAAACAGAGAATAGGAGGATCGAAATAAACAACAATCTCAAACTTCTTTGTTTAAGTTCCATGTGAGTGGTATTTTTGCGACAGAGAACGACAATCACGTGTCCATAGCAGCCCAGGGTGATGAGGAGTGGGATACAAAACCCAGTCAGTGTCCATCCAAGGCTGTATTTCAGGTAATCCTCAACATAAGCTGTAGCAGTGGTATGATAGCATTTTGCTGACGTATTTCCTTCATTTGTTTTGGCATAGAACATGTCTGGAAGACTTTGAACACCCACCAACAGCCAAACCATGACTGAGATAGCCACAGACTGAGTGACAGTTATTCTTCCCATCACTCTCACTGGATGGACAATAGCCAGGTACCTGTACACACTTATACAAGTAAGGAATCCAATGCTGCCATATAAATTCAGGTTGAAGCAGAATCTTGTTATCTTGCAGAATGCATCTCCAAAGATCCATGTACTCCCCTTAAAGTAATACACCACCAAGAATGGTAGTGTGAGTAGATACAAAATATCTGCAAGTCCGAGGTTGAGAACAAACACATTGATGATCTTTAGTTTCTCCCAGTTCTGCAGCAAAGACTTCAGTCCCAATCCATTAGCCACCAGACCAATGATGAATACTAAGATGAAAACAGGAGGAAGGAAAGTGGTTGTAAAGTCAAAGCTGACACGAGGACAAGATGTGTTATTCATTCTGTCGTATAAAGTCTGTGATGGCGCCTTTACCACAGACGCAATGATATCTTGAATGTTTCAAGTAACTGGCTTCCTGATAAAACTTTTTTCCCCCCACAACCTTCTCAGTGTTGTGATAAGCAGAAAATGAACACATACCATCTCCCAAGGTGTGAATGCAGACATCTTGAGATGGTATGACTTGGTATTTTATTTTAAAACAGGATGCATTTCATTATATTTCCTTTCATGGTGTAAATATTGTTTTCCCTGTTCTTTATAAACGGAAGGAAAGAAACTGGGTCAGCGGCCACACAGTGCATGTCAGTCAAAGATTTTAACTTTCAACGGTATTGTACGGAGCTGTTTTGATGTTTGGGGGACAAATCAGGTCACAGGTCTTTATAAAACTTCATAAAACTAACCTACAAGTCAATTACAAGTCTGTCAAGTCTCTGAACACTAATCCCACCCTTAAGAAGATAAGGCTGGTGATATTTGTCTTATTGTTAACAAATCCTTTGAAAAGACAAAAACCAACAATCACTGTCTCCTACGAGCAATTATGTGTCCAAAGCCCGAAATATCCTTTTCCTCTGTGCCATAGAGCTCAACTGTTGCCAGAAACTAAAAAAAGAGAAAGACTGACAAATTCATTCACATTGTACAACACTACCTATGATGGATCACTGCAAGACAGCCTTGTAGGAACAGCTGTTTAAGCATTTGTTATGAAAGTATTAACACTAAAATCTTAAATCTTGTTAATCTTCGTCTGCAGTTTGAGCCACAGGAGAAGAGTGTAGGTTTGACAGAAACAAGCAGTTGGACATCTGACGAGCTCGCTGGAGCAGCTGTCTGACCTGAGCAGGAATTTCTTCATTCACATGGAGGTAAACCAGAGGGTTGAGAGCACTGTTCAGACACACAAGGCCACGACTTATCTGATGAGCGATGTAAACTCTCGCAGACCATTTACGGCATATCATCTGTTTGTCCAGAACTCTCGACCAGAGGTTGAGGTTTTTAACTACATGATAGGGGATGTAACAAACAGAGAATAGGAGGATCAAAATAAACAACAACTTCAAGCTTCTTTGTTTAAGTTCCATGTGAGTGGTATTTTTGCGACAGAGAACGACAATCACGTGTCCATAGCAGCCCAGGGTGATGAGGAGTGGGATACAAAACCCAGTCAGTGTCCATCCAAGGCTGTATTTCAGGTAATCCTCAACATAGGCTCCAGTGGTGGTATGATAGCATTTTGCTCTGTTCCTTTGGGTTTTGGCATAGAACATGTCTGGAAGACTTTGAACACCCACCAACAGCCAAACCATGACTGAGATAGCCACAGACTGAGTGACAGTTATTCTTCCCATCACTCTCACTGGATGGACAATAGCCAGGTACCTGTACACACTTATACAAGTAAGGAATCCAATGCTGCCATATAAATTCAGGTTGAAGCAGAATCTTGTTATCTTGCAGAATGCATCTCCAAAGACCCATCTACTCTTCTTAAAGTAATACACCACCAAGAATGGTAGTGTGAGTAGATACAAAATATCTGCAAGTCCAAGGTTGAGAACAAACACATTGATGATCTTTAGTTTCTCCCAGTTCTGCAGCAAAGACTTCAGTCCCAATCCATTAGCCACCAGACCAATGATGAATACTAAGATGAAAACAGGAGGAAGGAAAGTGGTTGTAAAGTCAAAGCTGACATGAGGACAAGATGTGTTATTCATTCTGTCATATAAAGTCTGTGATGGCGCCTTTACCACAGACGCAATGATATCTTGAATGTTTCAAGTAACTGGCTTCCTGATCAATTTTTTTTTCCCCCACAACCTTCTCAGTGTTGTGATGAGCAGAAAATGAACACATACCATCTCCCAAGGTGTGAATGCAGACATCTTGAGGTTTAAGGTGTGACGTGGTATTTTATTTTAAAACAGGATGCATTTCATTATATTTCCTTTTATGGTGTAAATATTGTTTTCCCTGTTCTTTATGAACAGAAGGAAAGAAACTGGTTCAGCGGCCACACAGTGCATGTCAGTCACAGATTTTAACTTTCAACGGTATTGTACGGAGCTGTTTTGATGTTTGGGGGACAAATCAGGTCACAGGTCTTTATAAAACTAACCTACAAGTCAATTACAAGTCTGTCAAGTCTCTGAACAGTAATCCCACCCTTTAGAAGATAAGGCGCGTGATATTTGGCTTATTGTTAACAAATCCTTTGAAAAGACAAAAACCAACAATCACTGTCTCCTACGAGCAATTATGTGTCCAAAGCCTGATATATCCTTTTCCTCTGTGCCATAGAGCTCAACTGTTGCCAGAAACTATTAAGAACATTTCAATGACCCACACTACTGCACTGAAGATGACTGGATATTATCTTCCAGTATATGAAACAACTGATGCCAATCAGCTACTACGAGCATGACTTCAGTGTTCATGCCTGAGCTTACGCCATGCTCGTTGAAAATCTGTTATTTTGTGAGGGATTTGAATCATGTGATTTTGTAGGATTTCTCCATTATATCATCAGCATTCACACCTCATTAGTGATTTGTAGTTGATGCAGGCTCGTCAACATCAGTAATGCTAACATAATGACAATCCTGTGTACAGTGCATTAAGAGGATACTTACATTTCTCTAACAAGTTCCTGTTTTAAATTGGTATATACACCCCACCCACGCAGCAACATTACATGATTCTTATCGCTCCACAAACAGTGACAAATCATGAGCTGTGGTTACCATTAATTTCCTGTTTAACTGGAAGATTTGACAGCATCATGAGCAACACAAAGAATGCAACATTTACAAGAAAAACTGACAAATTCATTCACATTGTACAACACTACCTATGATGGATCACTGCAAGACAGCCTTGTAGGAACAGCTGTTTAAGCATTTGTTATGAAAGTATTAACACTAAAATCTTAAATCTTGTTAATCTTCATCTGCAGTTTGAGCCACAGACACAGAGTCTAAGTTTGACAGAAACAAACGGTTGGACATCTGACGAGCTCGCTGGAGCAGCTGTCTGACCTGAGCAGGAATTTCTTCATTCACATGGAGGTAAACCAGAGGGTTGATAGCACTGTTCAGACACACAAGGCCACGACTTATCTGATGAGCGATGTAAACTCCGTTAGACCATTCACGACATATCTTCTGTTTGTCCAGAACTCTTGACCAGAGGGTGAGGTTCTTGAATACATGGTAAGGGATGTAACAAACAGAGAATAGGAGGATCAAAATAAACAACAACTTCAAGCTTCTTTGTTTAAGTTCCATGTGAGTGGTATTTTTGCGACAGAGAACGACAATCACGTGTCCATAGCAGCCCAGGGTGATGAGGAGTGGGATACAAAACCCAGTCAGTGTCCATCCAAGGCTGTATTTCAGGTAATCCTCAACATAGGCTGTAGCAGTGGTATGATAGCATTTTGCTCTGTTCCTTTTGGTTTTGGCATAGAACATGTCTGGAAGACTTTGAACACCCACCAACAGCCAAACCATGACTGAGATAGCCACAGACTGAGTGACAGTGATTCTTCTCATCATTCTTACTGGATGGACAATAGCCAGGTACCTGTACACACTTATACAAGTAAGGAATCCAATGCTGCCATATAAATTCAGGTTGAAGCAGAATCTTGTTATCTTGCAGAATGCATCTCCAAAGATCCATGTACTCTTCTTAAAGTAGTACACCACCAAGAATGGTAGTGTGAGTAGATACAGAATATCTGCAAGTCCAAGGTTGAGAACAAACACATTTATGATTGTTAGTTTCTCCCAATTCTGCAGCAAAGACTTCAGTCCCAATCCATTAGCCACCAGACCAATGATGAATACTAAGATGAAAACAGGAGGCAGAAATCTGGCTGTAAAGTCAAAGCTGACACCAGGACAAGATGTGTTATTCATTTTCTTCTGGACAGCTGTTAGTACAATTCCCTCTGTGAGTTTTCCTGATGTTTTCTGTTAAAGCAAAGTGATTTTGAGAAGTGAGAGTAAAATTTGTGTCTTTTGGTCCTTCCTGTTCAGACTTCTCTTGAATTTTAATCACGTAGATCTGAATCATGTGTGAACACACAACTGACTGTTACACAACATGTGTTTCTTACTCTAAGTCTTCAACATATAACATAATGGACACTCTAAATTATGTTGGATGGTTAAGGAAATTCAGGTAACATCTCTTTAAAGAAGGATTCCTGATGAACATATAGACTGAAAGAGATAAACTGTGTTATGCTGTTTTGTGTGATGTGACAATCATTAGAGACGCATGTCATAGTGAGCCCTTCTGGTTGAATTTCAAAGAATGTTGATATTATGACCAGATTAAAGAATAATTACAACATGGGTCTTATTTACATAGTTTTGCAATTCATTGCTTTTTGTAACTTAAACATTTTATTCACCAAGTTAATTCATGACATCTGGGAATGTGGCAACATCACTAACAGTTCATTTTAATGGTGCAAGAAACATGAGCTGTCACATGATCAATCAGCTTTAATTAAGCCACAAGGTTAGCCAAATTATTTTAAAGGAGAAACAGTTTAAAGGCTGGCTCCCTGGTTTATATTTGATCTATCATACTTACTGTAGTTGTGCGTGCACAGTTTTCCTGCATAGACATTTCACATGCACTCACTTGTGTTTTTATCTTTAAATAACATTGTTCCAATACTTGTGTTTCTTGCTTGGATGCACTTTATTGTGGTGATTTCTCATCCAATTCCCAGATCTCTGCAAGCGTGTTGTCAAATGAATGACTGCCAAAGCTCTGAAAATAAAACCCAGGAAGGTATAAACTGGAATTATCCTTTGATATATCTCAAAGGCAAATACTACAGTGTCATTTTCAGGTGTAATGGCCGAGTTTCTCACACATTGATGCGTGTAAGGGAAACAGTCTGTTTTATTGTTGGCCACAATACATTTTTCAGCTCATTCAGTGGGTTTTCCAGTGGCTTTCACCACCCAGTGGTTGGATTTCACTTCTCAGGGTGTTTTCTCACCCGACTCCATTTGTAAGCTTTAACTTAAACATCAAAATCACCAAAACTGCACTTACAGGGATTTTATGTTTCCTAATGTTGATATTCCTTTAAAAAGGTACATTGTGGTTACTATACCTATATCATCAGTGACACATGAATGCATCATTTTTCTTGTTCTGCAGCGTTAATATTATTCTGCATTTTATTCCACTGCTCACAGAACATGTAGCTATTCAACTACTTGAGAGTGACAGTTTATTCTTGACCTGGGAAATATTTTAATAAAAAATGTATTTGAGATTGGTTTGTCAAATGTTATTGATTACAGCACAGATTGTCAATGATATCATTCAGAATACATTCTGTATCACAAGCATGAATGAAGTACATCTTGCTTACTGTGTATTTGTGGGACACCATGTTCTTCCTGTCCTGAACCAATAGAGACAGAGTGTATGACACTAGGCTTCTCCGCCCTCTACCACATAATGTGAACATCATCTCCCCACACATATCAAGACTTGTTAAGACTTGTTTATTTGACTTTTTCTGTATATAATAACAAAGCATTACAACAAACACAAAGGTCAGAAATGAAATGAACTAATGTTTTAAGTAATATACAAGAAAGAGCTAGATGTTAGACAGTCTAAAGAAGTGGCAGAGCAGCTGTTTGAGCTTTCATTCACTAAACATTGTTATATTTAACTTCATCTACAATTTGCATGGGCATTTTGCACAGATGTTTATAGGATTCTTTTAACAGAATTAGTAACATGTTTAATTGCTTCAAACTTTGTCTTCAGTTTGAGCCACAGGAGAAGAGTCGGAGTTTGACAGAAACAAACGGTTGAACATTTGACGAGCTCGCTGGAGCAGCTGTCTGACCTGAGCAGGAATTTCTTCATTCACATGGAGGTAAACCAGAGGGTTGAGAGCACTGTTCAGACACACAAGGCCACGACTTATCTGATGAGCGATGTAAACTCCGTTAGACCATTCACGACATATCTTCTGTTTGTCCAGAACTCTTGACCAGAGGGTGAGGTTCTTGAATACATGGTAAGGGATGTAACAAACAGAGAATAGGAGGATCAAAATAAACAACAACTTCAAGCTTCTTTGTTTAAGTTCCATGTGAGCGGTATTTTTGCGACAGAGAACGACAATCACGTGTCCATAGCAGCCCAGGGTGATGAGGAGTGGGATACAAAACCCAGTCAGTGTCCATCCAAGGCTGTATTTCAGGTAATCCTCAACATAGGCTCCAGTGGTGGTATGATAGCATTTTGCTCTGTTCCTTTGGGTTTTGGCATAGAACATGTCTGGAAGACTTTGAACACCCACCAACAGCCAAACCATGACTGAGATAGCCACAGACTGAGTGACAGTTATTCTTCCCATCACTCTCACTGGATGGACAATAGCCAGGTACCTGTACACACTTATACAAGTAAGGAATCCAATGCTACCATATAAATTCAGGTTGAAGCAGAATCTTGTTATCTTGCAGAATGCATCTCCAAAGATCCATGTACTCCCCTTAAAGTAATACACCACCAAGAATGGTAGTGTGAGTAGATACAGAATATCTGCAAGTCCGAGGTTGAGAACAAACACATTGATGATCTTTAGTTTCTCCCAGTTCTGCAGCAAAGACTTCAGTCCCAATCCATTAGCCACCAGACCAATGATGAATACTAAGATGAAAACAGGAGGAAGGAAAGTGGCTGTAAAGTCAACATTGACACTAGAACAAGATGCGTTATTCATTCTGTCTTATAAAGTCTGCTATGAAGCCGTTTACCAAAGACACCATGATATGTTAAATGTTTCAAGTAACTGGCTTCCTGATCAACCCCCCCGACAACCTTCTGACATCTTGAGATGGTATGACGTGGTATTTTATTTAGAAACAGGATGCATTTCATTATATTTCCTTTTATGGTGTAAATATTGTTTTCCCTGTTCTTTATGAACAGAAGGAAAGAAACTGGTTCAGCGGCCACACAGTGCATGTCAGTCACAGATTTTAACTTTCAACGGTATTGTACGGAGCTGTTTTGATGTTTGGGGGACAAATCAGGTCACAGGTCTTTATAAAACTTCATAAAACTAACCTACAAGTCAATTACAAGTCTGTCAAGTCTCTGAACACTAATCTCACCCTTAAGAAGATAAGGCTGGTGATATTTGTCTTATTGTTAACAAATCCTTTGAAAAGACAAAAACCAACAATCACTGTCTCCTACGAGCAATTATGTGTCCAAAGCCTGATATATCCTTTTCCTCTGTGCCATAGAGCTCAACTGTTGCCAGAAACTATTAAGAACATTTCAATGACCCACACTACTGCACTGAAGATGACTGGATATTATCTTCCAGTATATGAAACAACTGATGCCAATCAGCTACTACGAGCATGACTTCAGTGTTCATGCCTGAGCTTACGCCATGCTCGCTGTTTAAGCATTTGTTATAAAAATATTAACACTAAAATCTTAAATCTTGTTAATCTTCATCTGCAGTTTGAGCCACAGGAGAAGAGTGTAGGTTTGACAGAAACAAGCAGTTGGACATTTGACGAGCTCGCTGGAGCAGCTGTCTGACCTGAGCAGGAATTTCTTCATTCACATGGAGGTAAACCAGAGGGTTGAGAGCACTGTTCAGACACACAAGGCCACGACTTATCTGATGAGCGATGTAAACTCCGTTAGACCATTCACGACATATCTTCTGTTTGTCCAGAACTCTTGACCAGAGGGTGAGGTTCTTGAATACATGGTAAGGGATGTAACAAACAGAGAATAGGAGGATCAAAATAAACAACAACTTCAAGCTTCTTTGTTTAAGTTCCATGTGAGTGGTATTTTTGCTACAGAGAACGACAATCACGTGTCCATAGCAGCCCAGGGTGATGAGGAGTGGGATACAAAACCCAGTCAGTGTCCATCCAAGGCTGTATTTCAGGTAATCCTCAACATAGGCTCCAGTGGTGGTATGATAGCATTTTGCTCTGTTCCTTTGGGTTTTGGCATAGAACATGTCTGGAAGACTTTGAACACCCACCAACAGCCAAACCATGACTGAGATAGCCACAGAGTGAGTGACAGTTATTCTTCCCTTCACTCTCATTGGATGGACAATAGCCAGGTACCTGTACACACTTATACAAGTAAGGAATCCAATGCTACCATATAAATTCAGGTTGAAGCAGAATCTTGTTATCTTGCAGAATGCATCTCCAAAGATCCATGTACTCCCCTTAAAGTAATACACCACCAAGAATGGTAGTGTGAGTAGATAAAAAACATTTGCAAATCCAAGGTTGAGAACAAACACATTGATGTTCCCCAGTTTCTTCCATTTTGGCAGAAAAGATTTCAGTCCCCATCCATTAGTTACCAGACCAATGATGAATACTAAGAGGTAAAGAGAAGGTAGGAATCTGTGCTCATAGCCAATGGTGATGAAAGCACAGGTTTTATTCATTCTGTCCTCTGAAAAGCAGTCGTTACAAATCCTTTCCTCTGTGTATGATCTGGCTTATGAGAGGAGAAAAAACCTGACCTATTTGTTCAAATTTCCTGTTTGCAACTCTGTTGTCTCATATGCAGATTTGAGGTCACAGAAAACGTTTTCTTCAACCCTACACATGTATGCAGGCTTTGTTCTTTTACTTGCTTGTGCACAACCACATCACATTTTAATCTTTGGTCTGGTCTGGTATGTGAAACCATCATATTTCCACAGTCAGAGAAAGTAAAAGCCTTAGGTTGAATGTTTCATTTAGTATTACTATATGAAGCTCCTTATGATGTTATTCATGAGGAGTATTTGTATTAACAGTTTGGGTGATACATGTACTTCATCATTCACACAAATGGGAAGGTAAGAGTCTCCCTCTAGTGGTAGAGCTCCTACTTTAGAGTGAAAACTCTCGCCTCTCTGATCATAAAATAGGCCTACTGAGAATTACAGATGTGGTGAAATGCTTCTTTAAATTAATCTAAAAATTAATCAGACATTCATGGTCCTCAGATGATACCCATGACCTCTTATCTAGCATCACAAGCAGGACAAGGTTTTCACTAATCCTGTGAAATATGTCAACATAAAGTGAATTGATTTGCACATATTTTGTACAGATATTCATGATTCTCAGAGGTTGTATCCAAATGACTTTGGTGATCACAAATCACATTGTACAACAGTTAACAGATCAGGACAAAGAGATTTAAAGTATCTTAATTCATTTCTATGGTTAGTTGGAGCCAGTAGAACAAGCTATAAACACAATACTGATATATTACCACTGAATTATTATGGCAGACGTGACAGCAAGCATTTGCCTGCTGTATTTAAACACCACACAGACAGAGAGCGTTCATTTAGAGTTGTTTTTCTGGCCATGCACTCAACAAAAAAAGTCAAATATTCACTCTCACTCTAGCTCAGGTTTGGTCTCCACCAACTTATGAGTTTAATCAGTCTATTCTGCTGTTAAATGCTCCACTATGTTCACCAACCAGTCACTGACTTCACCTGGTTCTGGACAGGTAGTGTACACTGGGTTATCAGAGCTGCATGCTACTGACAAAATAAAAAAACATGTTGACGTGGTTCAGCCGATCTCACTCATAGATGATTGGTATAGGTGGCAAAAAAACATAATCCCTAACCAAAATGAGTTAAAAGACACTAAAACGCTCCATAGTGTTCTGGGGAAGTGAAGTGTCAGAAATACAAAAGCACAAGTGCAAAATTGATAAAAGTACTTATTCAAAACTGGATCACCAGTTGGGAAAACGGGAAGAACTAGCAGATAAATAATCCTTAGTGATACAATGATGCACACAAGTGCAGTGAGACAAGTTTTAACATTACTCATACTAGCCATAAAGAAAAAGACTAAATATGCAGCTTCTTGTTTTAAACAGATTATTTTTAAAAGGCCATACTCTGGCCTCTATTTTCCCAGAGTGGTTCATCAGCATGTGCTGGCAGGAAGAAGTGAGTATTCCAGTGGGGAGAGGCTGAAAAGGTGGGGCTGATAAATAATGAGCTGCATGGTTTGATATAGATTTCATGGAAGCCTGATGCTCAGACTAGCTTCTACAACTTCAAAACTCTGTTGTGTATCACAATAGTAGTATGGGGTGATTGACAAGTATCTAAAAGGCTAAAAAAAAAAAAAGGGGGGGGGGGGGCAGCAATGGCAGCCCTGGCTGATGACTGACAATGCTGATGAGGTGAGAATATGCCTGAACTGTATAAATAATTCCATGATATGTAGTACAGACATTAAATCGTGTTCCCCATTTAAATGTCTGATGATCCCTTAATGTTTTATTTAGTACAACCTTCAGATCAAATTTTTAATTTGTCTAAATCAGTTCGTTTATGAGCAAATACCTGCAAAACTAAAGACATTCCCATCAATCTCAGCTATGCTTTGTGCTTATTGCTGAATAGCAAAAGGTCAGCATGCAAACATGTCAAACATACAGTAACCATTTACATCAAAGCACAGCCTAACAGTGCTACTATCGTGACAGTAAACTCTTCCTCTTGTTAGAATACGTCTATGGTATCAAAAGGTTCTGTAAACGACCGTCATTGCCACTAGATGGCACTAGACCACCAGCATCTCACACCAAAACAAACGCTTCCCCCGCCCCCCTTCACGTTCTCAGGTGTTGGGAGGCCAAGCGAAACGCACAAGAAGCACAGTTGAATAACGTTGCGTTGTGTACACAAGAGCAAACAAAATACAATTCAGCCACGACCTTTAGCCTACGCTAGCATTGCTGTGATATGCTCCGCTGCAATGCTGACAGTTAGCCAGCTAGCGATAGCAACATTTGCCGAAGAATCTCATTATAAGGGTAACAGTAAGTTAGCTAACGGTTATCATGCCAACTGCGGCCGGTTATTGATGAAAACAGACATGTAGTGACATTATATAGCCATCAGGTTACTTACGCATGGAGGAGAAGAAAGGCCAGTTCCGGGTAACGCAGGAGCCCTTTAGTCGCTCGTAGGGCTCTCCATATCGGTAAAGCTAGATTAGTACTGTCTCTCGGTAAAGACAGTGGTGGTCCCCGTAAAAACTTAAAAAACTGGGATTTGAATCGGTGGTCCCCATGGCCGGTCTGCCTGTGCTCTTATCTCTTTCTTTGTCGGAGGCCTTTTTAGCCAAAAACATGGTTTCTTCAGTGAAGGAAATTCTAGAAAGTCACCGGAAGCCTGCTTACTGCACTGCGCCATCTCACCTGTATGCAGTCCCTGTGCCTTTATATAAGTGTGGGGAAGGCCAACGGTTTGACAAGGAGGTACTCACAAGATAAAAACAAAGCTAACTAACAAAAACACACGCATACACTAACATGCACAGGCCGACATCCCGGATGCAGAAGGGTTTTTCATGTTAAACTTCTATTGCATTCATGAAACCTTGCTTCATCTCTGCTCCAAATAATTTTTAGTAATGAATTTTTGAAGTTTGGTTTCTTTATTTTTTTACTGGATTGGGTTGAATTTTTTCTGAACCAAAGAGCAAACCCTAAGGATAATTTTCAACATGTACTCAAGTAACTAATTGACACTTAATGTTTTACAGTAATCAAATTAATGAAACAAATTTTCTTTTTTACCTGACCAAACAATCTTTAATTTTCAAACATTAATGCCACCACTACTTTTGACTGTCTTGCAAACATGTTTTGATCTTTGTATGATTGATATGATTTAGAAATGGAGAGATCTCTAACACAAACAAAATAATGAGTGCACATTAATGTTTTTTTGCAGTTTGTCACAACCTCACCCTAACAGACCTTTAATAGCTACAGACAGCACTGCTTTGCAAGTACAAAATATCATGAGGCATTAAACATTTGAAGTCAAAGGAGGACATCGTTATTGTCACTGTGCAGGTGTGAAAGCACTGGGTGCTGTGTTTATTCTTTCACTTCAGCTTTCTGAGCTCTATTCATTCTTTTGATTCAGTCAACTTCCTGTTTTAAAAACCAGTAGACCCTGCATAGCCCTGCGCCTCCCTACCACAACTACAATATGTGTTTCTGTTCTCTGCCAACCTGCAAATAACCAGACACACTGTCACAATAGTAAATTTTCTTTTTTAATATGATTTTAGATTTATTTTTAGCATGTTCAGCAATATAACAACCACAGGTCAAAACCTTGAGCCAGTACAATAATCATCTTATAAAAGCACAGGTGATATAATACAATACAATACAATACAAAAACAGTACAGATTCTGCAATTCAATTTAATTTAGATAAAAGGCATTTTACACCAGGGGAACTTGATTTGAGGTGATGGACAGGTGCATGACAGCTTGACGAGCTTGCTGGACCAGCTGTCTGAGCTGAGCAAGAATATCATTATTTCCATGGAGGTAAACCAGAGGGTTGAGAGCGCTGTTCAGACACACAAGGCCACGACTTATCTGATGAGCGATGTAAACTCTGTCAGACCATTCATGGCAAATCTTATGTTTGGTCAGAACTCTTGACCAGAGATTTAGGTTCTTTAATAAGTGAAAGGGGATGTAACAAACAGAGAAGAGAAGGATCAAAATAAACAACAACTTCAAGCATTTCTGTTTAAGTACCTTGTCAGTGGTATTTTTGGAGCAGAGAACGACAATCACATGTCCGTAGCAGCCCAGCATGATGAGGAATGGGATGCAAAACCCAATGAGTGTCCATCCAAAGCTGTATTTCAGGTAATTCTCCACATAGATTTTACTGGTGGTATCGTAGCATTTCCCAGGCTTGTCTCCAAATGTCTTGGTGTAGAACATGTCTGGAAGACTTTGAACACCCACCAACAGCCAAACCATGACTGAGATAGCCACAGAGTGAGAGACAGTTATTCTTCCCTTCACTCTCATTGGATGGACAATAGCCAGGTACCTGTACACACTTATACAAGTAAGGAATCCAATGCTGCCATATAAATTCAGGTTGAAGCAGAATCTTGTTATCTTGCAGAATGCATCTCCAAAGATCCATGTACTCCCCTTAAAGTAATACACCACCAAGAATGGTAGTGTGAGTAGATACAAAATATCTGCAAGTCCGAGGTTGAGAACAAACACATTGACGATCCCCAGTTTCTTCCAGTTCTGCAGCAATGACTTCAGTCCCAATCCATTAGCCACCAGACCAATGATGAATACTAAGATGAAAACAGGAGGAAGGAAAGTGGTTGTAAAGTCAAAGCTGACACGAGGACAAGATGTGTTATTCATTCTGTCATATAAAGTCTGCAATGAAGCCGTGTTATTCATGGTTTCCTGGAGCAGTTAGTACAGTTCCTTCACGTGGTGAGTATGTAGATCTGATCTACATATAGAAATCAAGTGTGTAATATGACTTCCCGTCATAAGCCCCACTCTCTACATGCTACGTTTGAGTTTTCACACCTGCCTGTATCCAGGAAATTGCACAGTTAGCTGGTGTCATGGCTGGTTTGAAGCACGAGGCAGGCAGACACACAGGAAGGCTGGTGCAATGGAGTTACTTTAAGAGAATAAGTGATGAATTCCAGGCTTACAGGTAGGCAGGCAGGTAACAGACAACACGTAGCAGGCAAGCTAACAATAACAAGAATCCACAATAAAAATAGCAGAAAGGGAGACATATTTAGACATATGAAACAATGTGGCAATTTGAGGGCGAGCAATGCGGGAAATGAGAAACAGGGGTTTTGTAGGTGAAGGTACCAGTAACTAGGAATGGGAAACAGGTCAGATGGTAGATCTGGGAAAAGGAGTAAAGTCAGATAGGTGGATGGGTGGATGGAGTACGAGAAGAGACAGTATATAACAGGGCTGAGATGGAAATCATGACAAGCTGATTAGTTAGACTTTAAATGGAAAATATAAAATCAAAGTCATCTAAAGTGAATCTTTGCCTACAATTACAGGTTTTTATGTACTTTATGTACTTGTGTGAGGCCTCATATGTACAGATTCTTCCTTTTTTTTTTTACATCTCTGACAATAACTTGTGAGAAATGGAAACTGAAACAAATTTGGCTCTATATTAGCAGCCTATTCTTCTAGCACATTAAACATTAAACATGTATGTTATGCCCGTTATACCACACTGTATGTCTATGTCTATGTCATGTAACCACCAGAAGTTATATACTGGTAAATGTAATATTACACAATATCAATAGCCTTTATAGCCAACGTATCATTAGTCAGATAGTGTGATTCTTTCACATACAAAGGAGAGGATTATACAGAAATAAGACGACAGTGTGCATTACAGACAATCATTCTAATGGTGGGTAAACTATTACAATAACAAGGGACACCATGTAATGTGGGTTTACATAAGGTGAGGTTTGTAATCTGATGGTTTGATAACATCATATAGTTCAACATCACCACAAACTGCAGCTGCCAGAATAATCATACAGTTGAATTAAAACATCTCTAAAACAGTTTCAACACAAACTGAACATGAACGGGTGGGGGGGGGGGGTTGCAGGACTGTTGCATTGAATTCATTTTTGCTAATTGTTCCTAATAAACTGACAACTGAGTGGATATAACAACATGAATGAAGGCAGTTATACTTTTTTTTTGTGGTCCAACCCCAAGCGAAAAGCTGTGAAAACGGTTGAGCAGATGGAGGAAATGGTTTTAAAAGGAAGTCAACTGAATCTAAATATACATGTACAGTATTAAGCTTAACAATATGTGTTCTTTATGTTAAGCTCACCCCAAAAAATCAAATGTGTGAAACTAAAATTCTGAACCCTGATAGAAGCCATATTGCCTTCAAATTGTTGTCACTTCAAAATGTTTTCTCACATTCTGATGATTAAGTGATGAAGCTCCTGCACTCCTCAGCCTCAGAGGTGGAATATTTGGTCCAATAGATGTCAGGATGTCTAATAAAGTCATGTGGTCATATTAAAAAATATACTAGTTCTACTACTATTCATGAATTTGGTTGTATTTTCATATGAAACTAGAATCACTGCCTCGTGGCAGCCAAGTTGCAGGAAATATGGTCACAGTCTCTCCTTCCTGAGTTACAGCGTTGAATAAATGCCAGAAGTGTTTTGCAGAACATTATGATGTCACAGTGAAGTTGACCTTTGACCATTTGGATATAAAATGTCATCACTTCATCATTTTATCCTATTAGACATTTGTGTTAAATTTTGTCATAATTAGTGTATGAATTTGTGGGTTTTGTGAGGTCACAGTGACCTTGACCTTTGACCACCAAAATCTTATCAGTTCATCCAAGAGTCCAATTTATGTTTGTGCCAGATGTAAATAAATTGCCTCTGGGTGTTCCTGATATATCACATTCACAAGAACATGAGGTCACAGTCACCTTGAACTTTGACCTTTGCTCACCAAACTCTAATCAGTTCATCTTTGAGAATGTTTGTGGCAAACCTGAAGAAATTCCCCCAAGGCTGTCTTGAGATATCACATTCAAAACATGTTCTGTGACGTCACAGTGACTTTGACCTTTGACCACCAAAATCTAATCAGTTCATTTTCGAGTCCAAGTGAATGTTTGTGTGTGAAGGAATTCCTTTAAGGCGTTAGGAGTGATGATGGAGGAATGATGAAGTGAAATGTTGGGAAAAGTCATTAAAAGCTACAGCATGTACAACATAACAACATAAACTTGTGAATACTGTAATGAAATGAAAAAATATAAATCAAAAACACAAAAATCATCAGTTCTATATCATCAATATTGACATTTTTCACTATACATAAGAAACATCTGTCCAGAATTATTTACAGCAAAACAGAAAATGGAGAAATAAGTGCAATGACTACAAACACACAAACAAAAACTATACAAGTTGAAAGCTGCATTGCTTGTGTCAGAAAACAACACAACATTCATCATTCTGTGGAATTTCTATCAAACAAACAAGTTCATTGAAATTTATCTTTAAAACTATTTTTATGACCAAATTGATCATGGTCAATTGTCCTCAATTCATAGTTTAGGTTATTTTTAGGTGGAAAAAATGTATTTGAATTCCAAGAAATTCTTTGTCTTGTCCAAGATACAATTATGCAGAATTACTGAGATTTAATTGGCCCATTAACCCAGAGTAAAAAAAAGAAAGTCTTGGGATTACTTCTTATCCTACTATAAATTTTGAGCTACATATGACTGGTTCAGTCCTTTGGTTCAGGAACATTGGAAGGATCAGACTCCAACTTGATTTAAAAATTTGGAACAAAATCAATTGTGTCACAGATGATACCAGTTCTAGTTTCTCACCACTGGCTTCCAGGATTTTTAAATTTTACTTGTGATATACGAGACAGTACATGATCAGGCACCTTTGTGCTTGAAGGAGTTGTCTTACTCTCTGATATCTGGGAGTAAAAGTCTCAGAGAAGAAAATCAGTGCACATCTTTAAAAATGATCTTTAAATGCACTTGTTTCCCATAAGTTTTACTTTGTGGGTTATACACTCATTTATCCTTGTATTATATATGATCTCTGATTCTTCTGTCTCTCTGTAAAGCACTTTTTGACTTCTGTTTCAAAAAGTGCTATATACTGTAAATAAAGTTTGATTTGCCAAAATGATTTAGACTCTTGGAGGCCAAGGCTAAAAGACCAAAAAAAAACATCCCAAGATGCAGAAGAGTACATGAGCTATGGGTAAGTGCAGACTGAGGTTGTCCATGTGTTAAGATCAACATTCATCCCAACTCAATCATAGTTTTTATCTACAAAGATCATTTTCTCCTTCAAGGTCCATTGATTAGAGGATGCTCATGTGGATCCGCCTGATGATACATAAGGTTTCTCCCACTGTCCAGCCCCTGAATCAGTCTGACTGTTCTCATGCAGTGCTCATACAGGCCGATCAGGGCCTGTATCCCCAGAAAGCAGGGTTTCTGTACGGCGAGTATGGGCAATTGTTGTGACAGACGCACGAGTGGATCATCATCACAGCTCGCTGGAGCAGTCTGCCAGAGGGGCAGCGGAAGGTCACCTCAGCAGTGGTGGTTTGGTACGGTGTGCAGCAGCGAGAGTCGGTGCACTGTCCGCAGTACCGCAGCTTGTAGGCGCGAGTGCTGTAGCAGCCCTGGTGAACGAGCCGAATGGGCCCTGGTGACGTGTAGCTGGCCTTGCACTGCCCCTGCTGTCGCCACTGGGAAAACACACACAAGGTAAGTGAGAAGAGATAAACCCAGTTAGGATGCAATAATTTGATGATTTGCAGGTTAAAGACTTCTAGATATGTAGATTAGGCTACATTTAGGCTTTCAACAAAGGCTCCGCTTCACTGAAGCTGGTCCTACCAGATAACAAGTACTGTTGAGTCAAATGTGAGCCAGAAATCTCAAACAAATTAAACTGTTTACACCCAAATTTAACCATGACACCATGAAATCTCTTGACCTGCAAATCAGCGGATCAATGCTTTACTGAGAGTTTTAGTTATACAAGCACATCTGAGCTACAACCCTGCTGCCAGACAATGCAGGAAACCCCCAGATTACATTACTGTTTTTCTGTCCAATGTGTTGTCAATGTTCTGGCTTTTCTGCAATATCTGGGCATGGCGACTACAGTTTGGTTAAGGTCACGGTTATGGTTAATAAAATAATTAATAGTTAATTTTAAGTTTGTGAAGGGAGTCCAACTCCGGTCTCTTGCATTAAAGTCCAGCATGCACACTTCTTTGTGGATTGGCATGGAAGATTGTCATTGCACATAAATCATGAGGTGCAGAATCATCCAATAATTCCTACAGTTGCGTTTTAGATTCTATTTTAGATCCAGTAGCTCTGACTCTAAGAAATGTGTGTCAAGTCAAAGTCAATTCTGTTGATGTAATTGTGTGTTATTAAACAGTCTCACACTGTACATTTAGATATCTTGGAATCTAATTTTTGAGATAATCATCTCTAAAAATTCTTCTTCATTTTTCATGATTTGGCTGAACTGTAAAAAAAAACAAAAAAAAAAAACATGATGGGATATATGGTGAGGAAAAACCTGACAACACACAGCAGCAGAACTAAGCAGAAGGAGCAGTAGTGTTGTGTGCAGAGCTCACCGTGGGTTTCCTGGGCGGCGGCTGAACTGCATGGCAAGGCCGCACTTTACAAAGTCGAGTCTCCATTTGTAGCTTGCAGGAAGGATTCTGGTTAGAAACCCTTGTGGAGACCCCAGCCCCACAGCTCTGGGAACAGGCGCTCCACTGGGTGCTCTGCTCTATACAGGTGGAGGCAGGTGGCACCAGTTTGTTTAGAGGGTGATCCCTCGGGAGAGAGGGCCACAACCTGTTGTCAGTTCTCATGGCTGGAGGAAAACCAGATAAAACAATGACTGGAGTAAGAAGCAAAATTAAAATCACATTTGCAGTTCATTATGCAGCATGCATGTATGCTGTGATTCCCAGCTCGTTAGCAAGTGATCACTGATTTTAAAGGAGTAGTTTGACATTTTGGGGAACACACTTATTTGCTTTCTTGCCAAGAGTTAGATGAAAAAATCGATACCATTCAGCCAGTAGCAGGTTAGCTTACCTTAGCATTAACACTGAAAATGGGAAAAACAGCAAGCAACATTAAAAGTATGCCGAATTAGCTATTAGCAGTTCCTGTTCATCAGTGTAGCCATGTATGTACAGACAGCTATCACTGGGTTACTTTGATTATGAAGAAAACTTAAAAACATGATGATTCTAAGACAAGTTGTGGAGTTATAAGGAGGTTTTTTGTATGATTTCTAAGCAGATTTATTAAAGTTTATTCACAACCGGAAATCAGAGATAATGATATCAGAAAGTGTAAGTCATGTTCAGATTTGACTGAGATTTGTTGCTGATGAAGGGTTATAAAGTGTCCCAGTTGCCTCGGTGAACTGATTCACAGCCACTGCTGCAGCTCCAACTGCTGATTGAACTTACTTACCCCAGTGAATCGCTTCCAGTAACTTTAAAGTCTCATCTGATTGTTCTTTTTTATTTTGCTTACAAAAATCTCCATTGCAGTCCAATACTTTGGATTTTTGTTCATATTAAAATCCAAAGCAAATTTTTGTTCATGCCAAAACTAACATGTAAAAGTCATAATAATCAGCTGATTTTCAGGCATGACATGGCAGTATTTGTATTCAAGAACAAAATGTTCCTTTGCTGTTCTCATAATGCAGTTTGACTCAGACAGTGTTTGGAATTCCAGATGTTTTTAGAGTGGCTTCATTTCCCTAACACACCCCCTTCTCTTTCTCCCTCTCTCTCTCTCTCTCTCTCCCTCTCTCACACACACCCCTTTTAATGCAGTAATGTAATCTCAACATAGCTTCATATGTTTAATTGTCACACAGCTGCGGTTAGTTGTTGTTATGAAACTAGGAAACTTGGTGACTGGGGGAAAAAAATGTTTTCACTTTTCCAAAGAAATCTGGGATATATTTGGACTCTGGGAGTTTTTCTTTGCCCAGACACGCCCCAGTTTAATGCAAAAACGCTCCAGTAAAAACTTCCAGACATGACCACCAGTGACAAAGCTCATACAAATGAAGGAAGGATTGGGTTGTCATATGGACTGATCATCAGTGAGTAACAACTGAAGCTGAGGAAGTCAGACAGTACGATGTAGAGATACATCTGGCACCAGCACCCTGACCCTGGAAAATATGCTGTAAATATACAGCTCTGACATCAGGATAAAATTTAAAGCAGTAGTTCAACATTTTGAGAACTACACTCATTTGCTTTCTTGCAGAGAGTTTGATAAGGTCAATACAGGCAGTGTAAAGGTATGAGGGTTGTATAAAAAATGTCATCTAACCCTTATTTACATCTAAGAAAGTGAATAAGCGCATTTCCTTAAATGTCAAACTCTTAATTTAACTATTTAATATGTACATATATTGAATTTCCATATATGAAATATATGTATATATAAAATAAAAACATATGTAAAAATTATAGAGGAAATCTATTACAAATTTGAATAATCTCATATGCCTAGCCCATACAAATATGTATGTTTATGTATGTAGGCTTATATTGTAGACATATGTTACATAAATGTATATCCATCCCAGAGCATGTCAATATACACAGATATTATATATATTGGGGTCCAAAAGTCTGATATCATGTTTAAAATTAATGAGAAATTAATAAGAAAAACATATACAAGAATAAAGAATTGTATATGTATGTTGTTTTGATAAACTTGCATATGTAAATTAAATATCTATCCATTCACATATATGGTCACAACATGTTATACCATATCAAAATTCATCACATAGAAATTCTGTAATATATGTACATATACAAATTTTACTGAGAGTATTTCATATATGTTATGAATTCATATCTTCATATATCCAGAGGATGTATATATGTGATAATAATATATCCCCTCATAATTGACATATGTATGTAATATGTCATAATACATTTCTGTAGGCTTCTACTGTATTTCACTGCTGCTGCTACCAAGAACTTTTTTTTTTTTTAAATAAATACACGCTTGCATCAGAGGATGTTTGACGCGTTTCTCCTTTAAAGGCTGATTTAACAGTCACGTAAATCATCCATCCACCTGTGGAGTTTACCTGTGATCGCATCCTGAATGACTGTGTTCTCGAGGTTTTCACACACCCATTCCTTACAGCATTTCCCCGGCAGGCGGATGTGTTGTGGGTTGGGGCAGTCTGGAGTGGGAAGACGTCCAGTCAGGGGACAAGCTGGCACACAGGTCACCCCTCCTCCCCTGCAGTGGCAGTAAGTGTCACAGGAGGGCTGGAACGACTGGCCCTCGTGGTAAGTGATGCCGTTGACTTCACAGCCCAGATCCTCCTGACCTGTAGGAAACGCAGCACAGACGGCGTCTTTTCTCAACCACAACTTGACCTTGGATTGAAGTGGGAAACTTAATCAGGAAGCGAAAAAGATTAATTTAGGTGAAGAGAGAGTGGGTGCGGGGAGGTGGATGGATGCAGGGGGACACAGCAGAGGAAAATCAAAGAGGGCGAGAGGTGAGGACACAGGAGCTGCTGTCCCTGCCAATGGTTGTGTAGTTTTATGGGAAAACAGGCCTCTCTACTGAGAAACTGAGGAGTCTGTTTTTCAATCCATGAGTGTTGTCTCTGCAATCTATCATGCTCAAAGGGCAGTCATTAAAGGAAAAGTGTCAACAGCAGCCCTGGAAATAGAAGCTGAGACGTTTTGGAGTTCTGGCAAAGCACCGTCGCCCAGCAGGCCGTCCTGCTCGGCTGAGCAGACTCTAAACATTAACTGTCTGTTTGTCCCACTCGTGCAGACTGGCTGAGGATCTATCAACCCCTCCCTGTGTGTCCTCCACTCTGTCTTACCCAAACAGACATGGGCCTGGTTGTTTGCTTGTTAAGAAAAAGGCACTCACTGACACACTCTCCAGGGTCTCCGGGAAAGCTGGCGCTATAATCACACTGCAGACCTCTCTGGGTGTCGCAGGGAAACATCTCGGTGCAGGACTGGCCTCGCTGCCTGGCACACACCTGGCAGCACCGGCAGCCATCCAGCACCAGTGGGACTCCTGCGGCGCACTGCAGGGCGGGACTGGGGCAAAGGCAGGGCCTGTCACACAGCTGGCACAACACCTGCAGGGACAGGAAACCTTTGATATTAGTGTTATCACCACCACGATCATCATGATAATCTAAAATGATTAATCTCATTACTACATTTTTATATATGAAAGAGTAAAGAAAATGTTATTGTGTTCTATTGAATCCAACACCATCAGGCCAAACCACTGTTTCCAATTACATGTGTCTGATGGAGCCAAAAACACAGGCAAGATCTAAACAAGCCCAGTCTCACTTAACCAGAATCCCTTCAAGGTGTCCTGACAAAGACACTGCAAAAAAATACAGTCCACCAGCGAGGTATTCCTACTATCAAACATACACTCCAGCAACACCGAGCTTTATGTGCTTACTGCAGATCAACTTTAAACCACAAAACAACATGATCACACTGGATAAGAATGTGCCCCTGACTGCGCACACAGTCTGGTGTTATAAAAGTTATGTAAACATGATTTTGACAAGGTGACTTCGCTTATCTATCGGGCTGAAACTATAATCGATTATCGATTCATTTAAAAGTCTATTTTAAAGCAAAAAAACTCTCTCGTTCCAGCTTCTCAGTTGAGATCATTTGATTTTCTTTGTGTCATGTTGTCATGAAATGAAACTGCACTATCTGTGGGTCAGACTAAACAAGCAAAGACATCACCTTGGCTTTAATAAACTGTGATGGGTTTAACACAGAGCTCGTCTACGAGCTTATTTGTGTCCAGATAATTTGGCTATAATCACTTTTCTCTTCAGATAAGGAGATGTTGCCCATTTTCCAACATATCACCACAACTTATGAATAAATGATCACACTGAGACTCTGCCTCAGTGATTTCCTGCACAGAAAATTTCAACGACATTTCAACATTAATCAATCTTAACAATAAAGTGAGCCAAGATAGGAAATCAGCTTCATTGTTTGAACTCCCATGCTTGCTTACTCTCTCTCTCTCTCTCTCTCTCTCTCTCTCTCTCTCTCACACACACACACACACACAGAGAAACAAATAATCATCTCACTTAAAAGTTAGTACTGTAAATAAGCAGGAGCAGGCCTCACCTGTGTAGCCACACACAGCAGCACAGCCACAGCGATCACACAGTCACACAGCAGTCGGTCCATGGGGGCTGGTGTTGCTGATGGAGCTCAGTCCGTCTCTCTAACCTGTGTGACAGTGTGGTGCGACCAGTGCAGCTGTTTGCTAACTGCTCATTCTTGCGCCTGCTGACATTTATAAAGTCTGGACTCTGATGTCACAGGCTGACTACCGTGTAAACAGCCACTGGACCAGCATCAGAAATGTTTCACATTCCTCCTCCTTGCTGCCCATTTCCACTTCCAGACACATACACACAGACACACACGCACACACACCTCCACCCCCAACTCTTTCCCCTCTTTTTCCTTCTCCTCCCTCTCTTTCCAGTCTTGTGGCGCTCTAAGTTTACACAGCTTAACACGAGCTGAGCGGAGAAAAATACATTAGCCAAGTCGTCTACAAGTCAAACAACCTCCAGGGCTTTTGTGGTGATGATTCTGATTTAAGTTGATGAGATTTTTTATCTTGCTGGTGTTTTTAAAAGCTGCTGGTCAGTCAGATATAGCAGCTGATCTTTGGAAATGAGGGATATGGAACAGATATTTCCACCATTTAATTTTTCATCTCAAAACCCAAAATACATCTGAAACCCTAATGTGCAACTTCAGCCAGACGTAAAAGAGATTTAATCCTTCTCTTCCCTCTGGTTTCCATGGTGTGAGGGCAGCATGTCTGAGGTTGGAATGAACTTGAATCATAATGATTTCTTCTATTGTAAGAGAAGTCTGAAGAGAATTCAAACAGAAGCTTGGAAGCAAACAGTGAAAAAAGAAAACTCCTCAGAGGCCACAAAGACACGTCCTGTATTAGACAGATTGTAAGTGAGCTGCCTAATTACTCAACAGTTATAGCAGAGGCACCAGTGCTCACAATGAGACCGACTCAGGTCTGAATGCAGTGTAACAGCTATCATTAACCCAAACAGCATGTGTGTTGTGTCTGTGACTATCCCAACGAGACTGAGCTATACTTGGGCACAGCAGTGCTTTGAGCTAAGTGCTAATGTCAGCATGCTAATATGCTCACAATGACTAATACTACCATGTTGATGTTGAGTAAGTGTAACCATTGTCACCATCTTAATTTAACATGTTAGCATGCTAACATTAGCACTAAAAACAAAGTACAGCTGATGCTGATGGGAATGACATTAACTTTGCAAGAATTTGGCCTCTACTTGACAAATTAAATTTTGACCTGACCAGGGAATCACCAAAGTGAGTACAATTAATCATGGTCTTCTTCTGCCCCAGTATACGCCTGGTTCCATGGCCTGACTTTGGCCCATATACAGCATGATTGTACTTCCACATCTGGACCAATTCTGCCACACACAGAAAATCAGTCAATACAGGAGGATAACAGCCAGACTCTGCCCAGTTGTGGAAATATATGGGCCAGACATGGGCCGAGGACCCAGGCATATTGTTGGGCCAGAAGTTCAAATGTCATGACTGCTGGGGAGAAAAAAGTTAACAGTGTGAAAGAAGTATTCAGATCCGTTACTTAAGTAAATGTAGTAGGCCTAATACCAAACACAAAGTTATGCAAAATGTAGCCTACTTAAAAAACCAAAAGTAAAAGTACTCCATGCAAAAAATGGCCCCTGTGGGTGTTATACTTCTATATAAGACATGAAGCTATTTATCTTATGTACTCTTGGTTAGTTTAATCAATAAAATTTTCATCACATTTTATGTTGTAAAAAGTAACTAGTAATTGCATCTGTCAGATACTTGTATTGGAGTAAAAGGATTCGTCCTCTGAGGATTATAAATGTACAAAATTTCATGGCAGTTCAACAGATAGTTATTGACATAAGTCAGGGTCAAAGTGGTGGACAGACTGACTAGCATGGCTAAAAACAAAAAAAACGTTTATTTTACAGTACAGTTACGTACACGGAGCATATGATAAGAATGTTGTCATAACATGCCTGAATCTAAATACTACAGTAAAAAGACTGCTGACTGAAACAGAAAGTAAGCCATTCATGGTAAAAGGAATTCAGTGAAAAGTAACACTAGATTCCTGAATTTCAACATCAGTCATTTGTCACAGAGCTGGGTGGGCAGTAAAGACATCCACTGATGAGTTATAAATAGAAGGAGACAGACAGAAAGATAGAGAAGAGGAAAGTATGTCTGTCCCTGGCAGGTGGCCTCCAGGTGGCCAGCCAGCATAGATGTACTCCAAGGCCTCAAATACTGCTTTCTCTGAAAACTATGCTTTCCTGGCCACCACTCCATGTGTTTTCCATGCTCTCCAAGAATGACAGAGGCTGGAAGGATTGCATTATAACGTTCAATAGCTCCACTATAACATGCAGGACTTTGTCCACTGAATATTACAAATACCACTCAATATCAGGAAAAATCTTCAAGCCTCTCTTGAGCTTAAAATCCTGAGTCTTGTATGCTCTTAAATATATTTGGAAGGACAAACTGTATGAATAGTCCAGCTTCACTATGCTTGATTGTCCAGCTTCATTATGCTAGCTCTATGAACAACTACTGTGTGAGAAGGATAGAGTAAAGTCATAATATCAACAACTGTAGCCAGTATCAGTCATAGTGAATTCATGTCTGCCAACTTAAACCAGAAGAGCCAGAGAAGGCTCAACACATTTTTCCAGAGCACACAGATGTTGGAGAGGTCCCAAACAGTAAAGCATCACTCTCACTGACAATCGACACTTTTGAAGAACCTCCCGAAATCCTGTACAATGACGCCCATTCAGTTTTAGGTGAATATTGTTTTGGTATGTGCTGGAGTGTAGGAAGAACCCATTGGATCCCTTGTTGATTCATGAATGCAAAAACTGCAGGGGCAAAGTAATGAAAATATTATTTGTCCTGTAAATGTTAGAAAAGAATGAATTGATCTAAGAGCTGAAAGAAAAGTAAATCTCTCTACCAAATCTGTCACTGTGGAGCAAAAATGTCTAACACATGTTCAGAAAAGTCATCCAACAACCCAGAAATACCTGAGTGGAGGCAGCATGAAATACAGCGAAGACTAAGACTGTTGTAATGATACTCAGAGGTGACACTCTGCTAAAGTTATGCAGTGGTAAAATCATATTTACAGATGTGAAACCCTGCAGTTCTGATTGTAAAAGAGATAGAGAAAAGAAATGCTACCAATTTCATCTCTCTATAGGGAGGGATGGCAATGTCTGTTTGTCGGCCTCCACTCCAACTGAAATATCTCAACAACTATTCGCTGGATTGTTATCAAAGTGTGGACAGACATTCATGGTTCCCAGAGGATGAATCTGACTGACTTTTGTGATCCCCTGACTTTTCCTCTAGAGCAGCCATGAGGTTCAAATTTGTTGTTTTGAGTGAAATAGCCCAAAAACTTCTGCAGCTATTGAATTAATTTATTTGACACAGACGTTAATGTCCCCCTCAGGATGAACTGCACTAACTTTAGTGATCCTGTGACTCTTTGTTTAGCAGCATCATCAGGTAAAATTATTAATTTGTCAAATTCTTCGGTTTATGACCAAATACCTGCAAAACTAATGTCATGTCCATCAGCTACAGCTTGTATATAGTTCGAATAAGAAAATGTGAGCATGCCAACATGCTAAACTAAGATGGTGAAACATCAGGTTAGCATTGTCAGTGTGAGCATATTAACATTCTGCAAATTGACGAAAAGACCCATTTGCACAAGTTGGAAATGTTTCAACTTGAGCAAAAAATGGAGGCAATGGGTGGAAAATAAAAGACAAGTGGAGTCACTTGAGTTCTTAGTTCACAAACACATGGGCATACTCCCATAGACACAGTTGATTCACCTGTGGCAAGCTAGCTAGCTAATGTACAATTGGTCAAATTTGTTTCGCTTTCTGACTGAACACACCTTTAATCTAGTTTTGTTGAAATGGTTGAACAACTAAAATCATACAAATCAATACTGACATTGAGAGCACAATCAGCTGGTTAAAAATATATCTGCAAATCAAAGCAGATTAAAAACTGTGTTCATATATTTTGATTCTGCAGTTCATTTTTGGCCACTGTAGTTTTAACAACCACAACACCTTCTAATGCCCTACACATTTTTAGGCTTGTGCTTTTTCTGAAAAGTACATTTCCATACCCCCAACACTGTGACCTCAGCAAACCCAGACAATATTCATGTCTGCCAGTCTGTGGGTTTCGGTTCGCCAACTAGCTGTGACTGATTTGACTGTGACTCAGAATAAACAGACTGTGGGCTGTAACAGCCACAAATAATACTCTAATCTTCTCCCGGCACAATATTTGACACATACATAACATGCAGAGCAGCTCCAAGTGCACTTGGTAGGCTAATTAGTGTCTGAGGTTTTGGCACCCTGTGTCGCTGACAGTTTTCCGGTCACTGGCACATTGGCACTGCCAAATCTGCAGGTATCCTTTCAGTGAGGAAGGCCGATTAGCCATGACTGTTGGAACAGTCACAAATAGCAAAAACCTGCAAGTGGTCCAGCCCTGAAGTCAGAAAGCATGTGTGAGTTGTAGTCTATTCACGATGTTGATGTACTGAGTTGTACTGACTCATTGTTCCAGTAAGGATTTCAGAGAGGTAATGTAATGACGGGCATCACTGGATCACCACCGCACCCTGTAGAGGTCACAGACTGAGCTGTCTTAATCCATTCAAAACAAATGTTCAAACTGCACCATGTCTGTTCTGTCTGCTTCTCCCTCATCTTTCTTTATGACTCCTTCAACACACCTCAGCTCAAATACTTTTCCTCTAACAGCAACATGGGTTTGAGATTTTCCTGTAGATAATACTGTCTTGGCCTTGAATACTGCAGACCCAAATTACTTCTGCACAGATTTCTCATTTATTCAACGACCACTAGAACACAGTGCATGAAGCTGAAGTCACTTGTTTTCATTCAAGATATTTGGATGAATCTGGGCAGGAGTCCGAAAAGTGGAAATGCAGTTTTCAGTCATAAAACTTTTAATAGGGAGGAAAAAGACAAGATGAAGACATAAATGTTCAAGCAGACGGAAAAGTTTCCTAACATTTACATAACATAATGACCAGCAGCAAAAGTACTTTCACCAATAAGATGTCC